GTTGTATAGATAAACATGAAATAGACATAAATTGCTAGAACAAAATAGTCGTTTCTTTTTCTGCGACTCAGATATTGCGTATAAAACTGACGTGGCCGGGTATAAACAGAATCGTTTTTGCTCGACCTTACGTGTGGAGGATGTGAACCCGTGGAGTTTGTGGGGTGCCAATGTGGAAAAGAGAAGAATATCTGCGCGGAGGCTGTGTCACCGGAATTCCTGGACTCGTTCCGAAGAATTTTAAAGAGATAGTTCTGCGAAGTAGGGCAGCAGAAGGCATCGCGAGAACGCGAAACTCAGAGAAGCTTCACTTCGGAGTGGTTTAAAGAAGGCAGGATGCAATTTATGAAACGATTTTCGTCATGTGTGAAGGACTTTTATCTTTAATTCTCGCTCTTATCTTTTCTGTTCTATGAGCAGTTTAGAATAGTAACGGTCTGCAAATTGAGTGAGAAGGCAAGAAACTGTGGTTTTATTAATAAATTACGTTTAGATTGAGAGCGGGTGGGAGAGAAAGAGAGAGAGAGGTAGGGAGAAAGGGAGTAAAATATTTTTACGACCTCCATTTCTTCTTGACCCAAGGCATATTGGCAAATAAATCAAATAAATATTTAGGAATAGAATTCTCTCACTTTTTTTATTATTTTGCTGCATTAGGAAGATTAACTATATTAAAATGTTTCTGTTATTCTTGCACCTGTTAGGATTCCACGCTGTTACTAAGAAATATTTTCTCAAATCTTCAAAATTTACAACAATGTTTCATCCAAACCTGAAAATTAATTTTTAGGAATCATAATTACATTTATTGGTCAGGAGAATCTAAAAAATCTTGCCCCTGAGCCTAGAAGAGGTGCGAGAATTGTATCCAAAATTTCATAAACTTAAACAAAACTATAAATTCAAATGTTGCATGTACGTGTACCTTATTTACTTCTTAGTATAATTCAATCTTAATGAAATTAAAAAATTCTCAATGCTGATTTTAATCTAAAAAAAAAACTTGTAAATTTATATAATGCACTATAAAGAAATGTATATATGTTCGCAAATGAACTTGACGTTCATGTGGCCAAAAATATTAAGATTATTAAAAAGCATTTTAATGAATAAAAGGTAAGCAGATGTACCTGACTGAGCAGACACATTGGTCTGTAAAAATTTGTGCCATATAATGTAATAAAAAAGTATTACCAACTTGACACTAATTTAAAGATACTATAATCCATAAAACTATTCATATTTTTCCTTCTTGATATAGTTTCACCAAATTCTGCTTTGAGATGGTGAATAAAAGTCAACCAGTGAAACAATACTGAAACTTCGTTTTTGTGATATCCAAATAAAATAATTGGGGGAAAGAACTAAAATAGGGATGCAAAGCTTACATCACATCTTTTAATGTTACCTTCCATTGAGAAAATTTCGTCTTTCATTGATTAGGTCAACAAACCGCCATAACAGATCTTCAAAATGCATTATTGCCTTGGATTTGTATAATATTCTTAAAATTATTCCACTCGTTTTTCTTGCTTAAAATGTTTTCTAGAAACACGCCCTATAATAATACTAAACAGACTTTGAGTTTGAACTTTTAAATCCAAAATTCCTATTTTTAGAAAGTGTAGTTAAGTGTTTTAAGTGTCACGCTACTTATCATTGATATTTTGATGGCACGATACTGCTATGCGCAAAACCAAGGAAAAATTAGCTGTGACTCAATACCTTCTTTGAAAAATTATTCTCTGAAAACTGAAATTTGGTCATTCGCGTAAAGTTATCTTTGTTGCAAATAAAACATGTAAAGTAAATAAATATCACTTTAATCTGAAGCCTAGAGTTTACTGAATCCAAATCATTTTAGTTTAAAAACCTACAACAATCTAGCGGTGAGTAACTTATAAAACCGCAAAAGTTAACAAACGAGAAAAACTGCACAAAGCTATTATTAAAACTTGTCATAATTTGTGAACTACCTACAATATTGTTTCAAAGTAATTTTCAGCAATCAAAATACAGGAATTTATATACAAAGTGTGATTTTTTTTTGTTGAGATGACAAGGAGATCAATTTATTTAATTCTGAACCACTGACGCGGGGCACCGTCAGAAACTCAGAGGTGGATTTTCCACAACTAACAATGAGACGCACTGTAGTGTATCCAGGACCCATGCCTTTCTCTTTGGCGTCACTTTATCGCCCTGTCAGCGCCCCGCCCCATGCGAGCGCCGGGCAGCGCTGGGCTCCGCGCCACAGGGCGAGACATGGTGTGGCGAGATGTGGCGCGGATTTGAATTGAGTGGCGAGTGGAAACGAGAAGCATGGCGGGTCGGGGACTGGCGGGGTGCGACGAGGTTGAGGAGTGGCAATGATTGGCGGGGCGTCAGATAAGGCTGGGAGACGGCAAGGGCTGTGGCGAGGAGGAATGATGGGGCGTGGTGAGGCGGGATGAGACGAGGGAGAACGCAAGAACCGCCGGGTCTCGAGGTGTAAAACGCGTCGAGGGAGAGGGAGAGAACGAGCATGGAAGAGTTGGGAACAGGCGAGGCATGGCGAGGCACAGTGGGCGGGATGGGGGAGAGGGAGAGCGCAGGGTGAGGCGAGGACAGCCAGGTCTCGAGGTGCAAAACGCGGGGAGGTAGAGTGAGAGAGAGAGAGAGCATGGAAGAGGATGGAAGGCGAGCATGGAAGAGATGGGAACAGGCGTGGCATGGCGAGGCACAGTGGGTGGGATGGGGGAGAGGGAGAGCGCAGGGTGGAGCCGGGTCTCGAGGTACAAAAGAGTGAGAGGGAGAGAGGCGCGGTGAGGCTGCCGCGGACGCGCGAAACGAAGCTCCGGTGTCGCGTGGCGCGTGGGGCAGCGGCGGGGCTGAGGGGAGCGCCGCCGCAGCCACCGCGAATGCGCCTTTGTCCTCGCTCAAGCCGCCTCCGATCGCCAGGCCCCAGCTTCCCTGAGTTCCGCGCTGCCTCCTTTACCGGAGAGGAAGGCGAAACCCGCCCCGACCGGCTCAATACGACTCGACACTTCAGTCGCTGTGGCCCCACGCGCTCCGACCCGCACGCGTGTGGTGCGACGCGCGGCCAATCCCTAAGAAGATGATATTTACGAAATATCAGGATTCACCCATTGAGAATCGAACTCGGTTCTTCGGGTGTGTTCTCCAAGTATATCACATACATCATTGGTTCCTTCCACAATCTAGCACAGTCATTTATCTCATTTTCTTTATTTATTACAAATGCGAAAGAAATTCGTATTAGGTACTGAATTAAATAATCTAACGACGTGCTTTCCGAATGTAAAGTAGAGATAAAAACCTTCACAACTACCATGTACAAACTTTTTATAAAAGGATAATGTGAATTTGTATTCTGTAATGTTTATTATTTTTTATTATTATATTTCGCAATTTCTATCATAAATGTAGCGTAGACACTTTAGTGTATTCGAATTGGTGTATTTACCAGCAGCTGATGTTTTTATCCAGTAAGACATGTTTGGAAATGAGCACAAATATTTTTCTCGTTTTAGGTTAAAAACACTTTTCGCTCTTATCAGGATGCAAAGGATTACTTTTTATTTTTGGAGATGATTATATGCAAGTCACGAATTAAAGGTTTATTTTCTTCTCCAATAAATATATTTTTCTACTTGTTTCCATGCTGTGTGCCATATGTCTGTCTGTGTGTGTCTCTCACTCTCTCATTCTCTCTCTCTCACTCTCTCACTCTCTCTCACTCTCTCTCACACTCTCTCACTCTCTCTCACTCTCTCTCACTCTCTCTCACTCTCTCTCTCTCTCTCTCTCTCTCTCTCGTGAATATCCACTGGAAAATCGGTATCCCTATGAGCTCTTTTTCACATTTCCACAATGCTCTTTTCATGATTTGTTTGTTTTGATTACGTTTTTCAAACGGGAAGAAACATTTTTTGGCACTGATTTGTGACTAGTAAGGTGATAGGCAAGAAAACTGTCGTTCTACTCAAGAAGTGAAAATTTTCACACATCTAAGAAAATGAACTAGGGACTTGTGTAGAAAATAATACATCAACACTGTTATTTGAAATTAATTTTTCATCATTGTCGATATTCTCAGTGTAGTTTTTTTAACAACCAAGCTAAATTCATTCCATTGTTATTCTCTCGGTAAAAGAATTCGCCGTGTGACCTGCCTGACTTTCTGAAGAGTTCATTCACCGCGTCCCTCCGTTCGTTCTTTTCATGCGTCGTTTCGCCGTCGCACCCCCAGCCGCAGCGTCACCCGCCTGTCCCGAAAATCGAGCCGCGGGCTGCTTTGACAGCGGCAACAAAACGGAGGTGTCAGTGGAGACCGGGACATTACTCTTCCCCGTCTCCCCCCCCTCTCGGAACCGTCCGCGTGCGAAGGCGTGCGTTCACCCCCCATCGCTCCCTCCCCGACTCCGCTTCCCCTCCCCCGCTCGCCGCCCACCCCTCACCGCCCAGGCCGCCACAGCCGGATCATTTCGTTTCTTTTCCGCGATGTATTGCGACCTAAATGCATCCTTGTCTCTCCAGCCAGGCGAAGTTCAACTCAGAGTCCGCTGACGCATGTCGTTGAAGATCGCGCCCGTGATAAGGCGCAGAGTAGCAGAATGATTGGCACACTACCCTCAAGGCGACGTACAAACTCTCTAGACGTTCCACAATGTTTTTCATTACTTTTGTTTTCCTGGACATCTGGTTGGCAAGCCAAGCCAAGAGCGGTCGTTGAGACAAAAGCTCACCAAAGGTCATTTGGTGAGCTTTTGACACTTCAACAGTGGGAAGCAAGAAGGTGTTTAAAACATCAACGTATGCCTGTGCCGTGATAGTGCCACACAGAACAACAACGGGTGCAAGCCGCCTCCGTGAAAAACTCGACCATACCAAAACACCATTTTGCACGTGTTCGGATACTTTTGATCACATAGTGTATATTCATTCAATAAAAGAAGTATACAATATGAAAAGAAAATCGTTATTTTTTTCACACTCACCTCTGAAGTAGGATTTCACAGAACATGACAGGGCGGGCAACGTTATTCCCTCTCGGGCAGTCATATTTCTGCCCTTGTCCTAGCAAATATCCATTCAAGTTCACAGATCGGCAGGCAATTGAAGTAACATCCCGCGCAGATCTGTAAGTCAACGATAAAAGACGAATATATCAATTTAACATGTATTTTTAAACTGTTTTAAATGAAGCGCACACCACTTAATGCATGATACACAATCTTATATTTAGAAAAAAATTCTAAGGTTTATTAAAAGTTCATATTAAATAGGATATAGAAGAATTCGTACTACAAATGTCTCGTGAATAGCATTACATACAAAATATTATATCCGACTTTTTAATTGCAAGTTCATTCATATTCGGAAAAATAAATGTCATTGCAGCTCAGAACATTTCAAATACATCAACTTTTCAAATAGGACATTTTCAATTGGCAGTTCAGCTCGACTATTTTGGGGTTTGATATTACCCTCATCGGAGAATAAAATAACACTTTGCAAACGTAATTAGATCCAAGCACACAACCTTTGTAGCAGATGAGAACAAATGATAAGTAAAGGGGAGGATTTTTTCTAGAAAATATTAATAAATTTCTTGCACAATAGAATCGATAGTATTTTAGATATTGTAATAGAAATCTATTAATTCTAGTTGAAAACAAGTTGGAATAGCATCAATATTTCCCGCATAATGAGTAGAATATGTTTAGCGACAAAATTACATCTCTCGTCAATTACCCGTGGCCTCCACAATCCTACCAGCCACACCCGTCCCGTCCGTCGCTCAGTTCCAAATCTAGGGTTCCGCCCCGCCTTCATTTCTATGTTCTCGACCGCCGTTCTTATCCCCGTCTCCTCTATCGAGGTCCCTCCAGTCTCCGCCTCCAGCACCACTCCCATCCCAAATTCTAGAAGCCGCCTGCTCTGATCGGTAGTTTTCTGTCGTTTCTCCAATCAATATCAGGCGAATGCCGGAGCAGTACCCTAACAAACGGGACATGGACCGCACGCGATATTTCCTTCCTCTTCCCTGTCCTATCCTCACCCCTACTTACACACATTTACACTTACATGTACTACCCTACCACATATATTAGGAGACTAATCGAGACCTTAAAGACTCTCCTAACTGGAAAAATGTCCCGATGATGAGATACCTAGTTAGGGAAAACACCAAGCTGACTTGTAGACTGGCGCCTGATCTTATCATCTTGTGGAGAGAGGAAATGACAGCCATCTCACGTGACAAACACATGCATTACATTTACAGGACTAATGACCTTAGCGGTTGACGCACCCGGAATCACTAACCAATCAGTCAACCGAATTCACCTGATTCCCCACCTGCACCCCTAACTCGACGCGCACTCCCTCTTCCATCGGTTGGCGAGCAGGTCGGTATATCAGCAGATATTTCAAGGGCGCGGGAAACCCAACCGGTGGCAAACGTGCGCGTGTGGCAAGTGGGCGAGGGGGGTGGGGGCACTGCGTCATTGGCTGCGCACGGACACCGCTGGCGTCACGTACTGCAATCCTGTGCAGAGGATGCTGCAGAAGGGGAGGGGCGGGAGAACGTCTCTCGCAAGCTGAAACGCGGATTTCCAGCCCCCAACCGCTTCAAACAATACTCCACATTTAATGACATGTAACACAAACAGTGCTACCTCGGTTTTCACAATTATTTCACTCAAATATACGATGTACAGCGAATCTCCAAAAACTGAAGCAGCATTTTTCATAAGAAATAATGCAAGTTTAATTAATTTCCGTCTGCAGACGGACAAGTTTAGACGCAACCTTTTTAACATTTCGAAAGTCGAACAGTGGTACGAAAACTAGGGTAAAAGTTTGTCGTCGAACATAACCAAACTAGATCTTACAAAAACTAGGGCAAAATAGAATTTCAGTTAATTGAATCTTATCACAATCTCACCGACTGTGGTCAGGCAGAAGACAGGACTTATGGCTTCCCACTACCAGAAAGTGTTACTATTATTATTATTATTATTATTATTATTATTATTATTATTATTATTATTATTATTATTATTGTTGTTGTTGTTGTTGTTGTTGTTATTATTATTATTAAACTATTGTTAATAATAATATTTAATATTATTAATAATAATATTAACAACAATAGTTTATGATATTGAATTTCAGTTACATCTATTCATGGATTGGAAAATATGTTTTGAAGTTACGTTTTATTCCAACAGTAGTTAAAACAAGTACACAGTAACAGGTCTTCCGATTATTTCGTTAATTAAGAGATTTATAACCAATGGAAACTATTTCTTACAATTTGTAGCCAGAAACAATTGGTGTGATTACGTACTTCAGGCGTAAAGAAATTAATATGACATACACAGATGGTACTGCCGACTGTCACGGCCATTGAAATTATATGAAAATTGTATATTATCAATTCTTATGAACCATAGCTAATATAAATCAGAAAAGTGATAAAGTTTTAGGTTATCATCTAATCAAACACAAAAGAAAACACGTATATTTAAATCTTTTTAATTTGTAGCCCCCCTCCCATCGCCAATTGAACTCTAGATGAAGAGGGCCCAAGAATCAGCTGTTGGCGATGCCGCACCGAGACGATTTGCGACCCCTCTCTACTAGCCCTCAAGACAGAGAGGATATGTATCAATCCACGGTAGAGTATCTTCATTGAACGCCCTCAGTAATATTCTAGTTACGGGGAATTGATGTGACTGAATGTCAGAAATATTTCATCACCTTCTTCATGAAGAGAAGGTTCATTGCCTATGAGTATTTTGTTTCAGAATTGGTCTGAAGGTCTCCTAATTTTAGGCAGATATTAGTTTACTATAATAAATTTCATTTCATTCATTCAATATAATACATTTTTATTAAAAACATACAAATTTAGACCTACGTTTTAAAGGTCATTGACCTTCATTTTCAGGGTCTACTTCAATTTGGTTTTTGTTTATGATAATTTTTATGATAAAATTATAGTATGTCTAAAAAATTGTATGATGTTAAATAAAAATGTATTATGAGAATAAATGTCTACCTAAAAAATTAAATACCCTTCAAACCAATTCTAAAAAACATCAAGAAAGGCAGTCTTATTCTCACTGAATAATTTTAACATTTTCATTCAGAACAACCTATGAGTAATTCCCAGCCCCTAAATGCGATTGAGGTATTTGACCATGACAATATAAATGAAAAGCGCTTAAAATAGTCCAGAATTCAAACTTTCATCACTTTCATCACAGTTCTGTAGCAAATTGTCGTATAATGCGCAACTGTAATGAAAATAAACGCTAAATGTACTCCAAATGCTATCTTTCGGAAATCACACTTCTTAATCATTACGATGATTAGGATGTTTTGATTCTTATATTTTTCTTAAATATGATGTGCAACAATGCCATAATGAAAATGCACTTGTAATTATAGTCCCCAATTCCTTTCATTTTTCGAGATAATCTTCATTTGCAGATGTAACTGTAAATGTTTCCAACACTATGTTATTTCTGCATCTTACTATGTCAGTCGAAAGATTAATGGAGATAGAGTACACGCTCATCGTTTTGACACGGTGTCAAAACAGCAATATGTAAATTCGAGGAAGTGACAAATGAAACGAAGAGTGCGCAACGGGAGGTTGCTCCGCTGACTCCAAATGACATGCAAAAGCGATTTCCACATCCACCCAGCAAATTGAGTGTTATTACAATAATGTTTCGTTTTAAACTATTTTCAAAGAATGGTCACGTAAGCGTCAACAATATGTGCATAATCAATTGCTTATTCAAAAAATTTAATGAAAATCATACTTGTGACAGTTCCATAAGCCTACTTTTCTCTATTAAAAAAAAATAATCCAAAAATTGGAAGCCATTTTTGGAGAAGACTTTGTCATTGTGACCTTATGATAAGTCCCCTTTAAAATTAAAATATCCACTTCAAGGGCTAGGCACCGCGGCATCAGCGAAATCAATTGGGGAATATCGATTTTGGGGAAAATCCTGACTTGTTTTAGCCGCTAGCGTTGTTTATGGACGGACGGGCATAATACAAACAGACAAATGCACTGTTGTCGGAAACCAATTTTTCATTATTATTATTATTATTATTGTTGTTATTGTTATTGTTATTGTTATTATTATTATTATTATCATTATTATTATTAGCTCTTTAAGTGCTGGGGCCTCCTGGTTTGCCAGGGAAGATCCGCACGGGTTTGTGCCCGTGCAGTTTGGTTGAGGGTAACTATGCACAAGAATAAATTTCACACATTAAGCTCGAATTGTTTACTACTAAGTAAAGAATTGTCATGTAAGTTGTATGTTAATATAATCTGTCTTTTAATATTGATATTGTTTCCACAACACTTCACTGGTTTTACATTTCTTCATTTCCACAATTCAGCTTGTTTGAAGAGACCTCCATGACGCTCTGCATGCAGCCAGTCTCATCCAATTTCTGCCAGCTGACTCCTTTAAGTTGTCCTCCAATATTTTTCGTTGTCATCGTCGAACACGCCATCCGATTCTTGGTTCCCATGCGGTTGTAGCATAGGGCCACCTGTTATACTGTTGTCTTATTACGTGACCTCCCCATTTCCATTTTTGGGTCAAGGTTTGTTTTATTACATCTTTTATTTTTGTTCTATTTTCATTATTTCCATATTTGTAACGTAGTCTTTAAGTGATATATTAAAAATTTTTTTCTCCATTTTTCTTTGGCATCTAGATAATTGCAGCTTTTGTGCTGCTGTTAGCGACCAAGTCTGACTTCCATAGATTAATGTGGATAAAATGCAAGAATCTAATACATCTCATTTCTGTTTTACACCGATTTTTTTGTCCAATAGGTTAAAAGACAGACTCCAAAACATTTTCTATGCAAAAATGATATGTCTAATAATTTTACTACTGAGTCTGTTGATAAAAGATATCAATTGAACTAGGTAATTTTTCAACATAAAGACCAACAAAACATGTATTCTGACATGTTCAAAGGAATTCATTTCTTACTTACAGGAACAAGAAATTATACGCTTTTTCGGTGTCACGGACCTTCAAAACAATTTTTTCTGGCAAAAAATCGCCGTTTTTCAATGGTGATGTCACATGCGATATCTACGCTTGTAGAAGTATGAGAGAAAGTGAACACAAAACGAAAAACAAAGAGCTAACTTCACGTACGCTTTGAGCTAAACTCTCTCGTTTGCGTCCCCCTTTTGAAGTGACGCGCTGCTCTGTGGCCCTCGCCTTGGGAGCGTGGCCGGCGCGGCGCGGCGCGGCGCGGCGCGGCGCGGCGCGGAGACGAACGCCTCGGCGAGGCCTGCTCGCGCTCGCCGGCGGGGGCGGCCGCACGCGCCGTTGGCGCGGGTCAAGGCAGCGCGCGCGGGGCGGAGAGATAGCGTTTCCTCGCCCTCCTCCTCGCGCAGAGCGGTGTATCTCCCCGCAGATGCAAAGGCGCAGAGGCTGTTGACGCGGCGCAACGCGATGCGGGCCGTCGCAGCCAAGGCCTCTGCGCCGCCACGACCCCGCGCGCGCCGCTCAGCCACGGCTCTTGATGTTGGCGTTGTAGTCGGGAGCGCGACTTCAGAAACTAGTCCTTTGCCTCACCCTGACACGCGCTTGTTGGGAAGTTTGGACGTATGACGTGAAACATTAAAAAGCACCCAGAATACCCTGAAAACGTGTTGCATTCTTTGAGAAATCCATTCGGATGTGTTGTTTTGAAACATTGCTGTGAATACTTTTAAATATCTGCGACGCAATGGTGTAAAGGAAAGTTTATATTCAATAATATTACTTTGTGAGAGAGTTATCTCATAATTCTCGTTTATTTTCAGTATTTGTTTAGGAAATATATTTCTACATATATCTTGAAATTCCACCCTTCAGAAATAAATTACAGTCTTATTTACGTATTCGGAAAGTATAGTAAGGAAGAGATATGCAATAAATAATGAAAATTATTTAAGGGTAAAGAAGTAGCCATTGTTAGGCGGATAAAACATGTTAATTTAAAAACGGTGAAATAAAAAGCGGTGAAATGCAAAGCGTTTCCTAAGTTGCATATGATCAAAACTGTCTATTACAAAGGAATAGTGAGAGAATATTTCGATTGGAGGAAATCGTGAAGGAAAGGAAGATGACGTGAAGATAAGGGTCTGACGTTGAGTCCCAAATGGGAGAAAAAAATGTGCTGGTTGGAAGCAGTTTTTCGGGTTCATATACAATGAAGAACCAAAAAACTGATACACCTGCCTAATATCGTGTAGGGTTACAGCGAGCAAGCAGAAGTGCCGCAACACGACGTGGCATGGACTCGACTAATGTCTCCAGTAATGTTGGAAGTAATTGACACCATGAATTATGCAGGGCTGTTCATTAACTAATAAGAGCGCGAGGGGTGAAGATCTTTTCTGAACAGTATGTTGCAAGGCATCCCAGATATGCGCAATAATATTCTTCTTTGGGGATTTTGGTGAGTAGTGGAAGTGTTTAAATTCAGACGAGAGTTCCTAGAGCCACTCTGTAGCACTTCTGTACGTGTGGGCTGACGCATTGTCCGTCGAGATGCACAATGGAGATGAATGAGAGCAAGTGGTATGACAGGATGCCTACGTACGTGCCAACTGACAGAGTCGTATCTAGACGTATCATGGGTCCCATATCACTTCAACTGCACACGCCTTATACCATCACAGAGCCTTCAGCAGCTTGAACAGTCCCCTGTTGATATGCAGGGTCTATGGATTTATGAGGTTGTCGCTATATTCGAACACGTCCATCCACTCGAACAATGTGAAACGAGACTCGTCAGACCAAGCAACGTGTTTCCAGTCCGGTGCCATTCCAATGCCGGTGTTTACGGGCCCAGGCGAGGCGTAAAGCTTTGTGTCAAGGGTACACGAGTGGGCCTTCGGCTCCAAAACCCCATATTGATCATTTCTCGTTGAATGGCTCACACGCTGACAATTGTTGATGGCCCAGCATTGAAATCTGCAGCAACTTGCGGAAGGGTTGCACTTCTGTCACGTGTAATGATTCTTCTCAGTCGTCGTCGGTCCCATTCTTGATCACGATCTTTTGAACGGTCCCAGCGATGCCGGAGGTTTGATGTTTTACCAGTTTCGAGGTTGTTACGGTACACTCAGTGAAATGGTCGTACGTAAAAATTCAAATTTCATCGCAACCTCTCCATCTCTGATGAGCTCCCCATCTCTCTCCCCCTATAACATCACGTACAAACTCACTTAAATCGTGATAATCTGTCATTACAGCAGCATTAATCATTTGTGACATCCTTTATAAAAATAAGAAGAGTGCCTACGGGATTGAGGGAAATACGATTGATGATGGGAAATAGTTTGGGAAGTTTGAAATAAGCACACAACGCTACGAACGCACGCCATTAACTTCATTTTAACTTCCATGTTAGCTGCCAAAACGAACACATCAACGGTCTCAGTCGTATTTATCCATCATTGGCGGCGTTTTCTGGCTCAACGAATATGAAATCTGGTTAAAACGCGAATTATCGGTGAAATTAATTACGCCGGTCAATTATCAAGAGTTCGTTTACATGCCACAAGCGCGATATGATACACTGAAAATTTTCCGCCCTTTGAAAATCCACCGCTACAAACTGGGATTGAAATCGCGATCTAGAGTTAGGAATCCAGTGTTTTAATCATCATACCATTGATCTCGGCTCATTACTTTACATTAACGAGGTCGTCAGCTCTTGCAGTGTCGAGTGTGGAAATGAGGGTCAAATGCTGGGGCGGCGGTGGTGCTTCCACGCTATGGGGAGATGATGATGAGAAGCCCGCTGCTAAGATGAGTCTTGCCCTCGGTTTCTTTCATTAATTCCATGCGAATGTAGAATAAATTGTTAAGTCGTGCCTGATCCTTCTTTCACCATTTTATCTCCTCTTCAATTATAAGCGCTGTTAAATTATAGGCAATGAGTTAATCCCAAACCTCATATTCTTCATTCTCATTTATAGAAAAAATTTAAGCGCGGGGAGAAAGTTTGCCTTACGGTCATATGACAGTGATATGATTGTACATAACATTATGTGTGAATTATGAAACAGGCTTTTTAAAAAAATCCCTTTTCGTTTAATCTGATAAAAGTCAACTTTAAGTGATTGTGGAAGAAATGAACGTGAAGTCTACCGAGTACGTGAAAACTGAGAATCCATATACCAAAAATTACATTTTTTATAAACACGTAATGAGGCCTCTCTTCCAAATTTGACATAATCATCCAACAAGACGTTTTAATTTGACCCAACTTGAGTCACTTCGCTGTCACTGATTACATTTCAACGACCGTTCTAAGAATAGTTGTTTTTTTCTTGGAAATAAATTTTCAGTAGCGTAGCATATTCAAAATTAAAATGAATCGTAGTTATTGAGCATTCTAGAGATGAAGAGCAACTTATAGTTACTCAAATACACAAATTGTAGCTTGTTCTTCCGAGAAACTAGGATATATAAATTATATTACACAGAAAGTATACATTGATTGAATACATCATTCAACATAAGAGATTTCTGATCACTATTTGATTCCACAGAGGGAAAAATTTGTACACCACATCCAAATCAAACAACTTGTCAAACTGAAGAAGCAGATTGGTTAGGGACCTTTCATGGATATCAAAAGAATGGTTGAAGTTCTGAACTCTTCGAGAGTTGGGAAATTTAGAACGTTTCTTGATGTCATTTCTGAACTGTAAATTATTCACCTTCGGACATGGCGTTCCTTTAAAATGTTTTGAACGATTTAGTAAACGACAGTATTATTGGCCATGAAGGAGACAATTTAGGTGCCTGAGCGGGCGATGACGAGGGCGGCTAGCGGCGTCGGAGAGGCGCGGGTGAGGGCGAGGGCGGAGTAGGGGGCGGCGCCTCGCAAGCTATTTCCGCCCGCGCCGCCCGGCGGAGCTCGAGAGAAAATTGCCGTAAAATTACATGCGGCAGTTCGTCAAGGCCGTCCAACATCTTAATTTCTCATTAGGCCGCTGGACATCTGCCACGAGCCGTTTCACTCGGCGGCAACGAACGGAGGGCGTCACTCAGCTGAATTCGCTGCGTACGCCGTCTTCGTGCGTACGCCTCTTATCCTACCCTGCGCCCCACCCACCGCGTCTTGGGGCACAAGACTCCACTGTCTTGTCTCCGGCACGTTTCTCCACTCTACCACTCGCTCCTCCCCGCCTCGCTCCTCCCCCGCCTCGCTCCTCCCGCCTCGCTCCTGCCCCGCCTCGCTCCTCCCCGCCCACGCTCCTCCGCGCCTCGCCCCTCCCCAACTCACTCTCCGCCTCGTGCCCTTCCCGCCTCGCTCCTCCCCGCCTCACTCCTCCCCGCCTCACTCCTCCTAGCCTCACTTCTCGCCCGCCTCGCTCCACCCCGCGCTCTTCCCCGCCGCGTCCTCCCGCCTCGCTCCTCCCGCCTCGGTCCACCCGCCTCGGTACACCCCGGCTCCCTCCTCCCCGCCTCCCTCCTCTCCCGCCTCCCTCCTCCCCCGGCCTCCTCCTCCCCGCCTCCTCCTCCGCCTCGCCCTCCCACCTCGCTCCTCCCCGCCTCTCCCCTGCCAGCTCCTCCGCGCTTCCCTCCTCCCGCCTCCCTCCCCCCGCCTCCCTCCTCCCGCCTCCCTCCCTCCCTGCTCCTCCTCCCCCGCCTCCTCCTCCCCGCCTCCCCTCTCCGCCGCCTCCCTCTCCGCGCCTTCCCTCCTCTTCCCCGCCTGCCCTCCCTCCTCCTGCCTCCCTCCTCCCCGCCTCGCTTCCTCCCCGCCTCGCTTCTCCCCGCCTCACTCCTTCCGCCTCTCTCCTCCCCTCCTCGCTCCTCCGCCGCCTCCCTCCTCCGCCTCCCTCCTCCCGCCTCCCTCCTCCCCGCCTCCCCTCCTTCCCCCCGGCCTCCCTCCTCCCCGCCTCCCTCCTCCCCGCCTCCCTCCTCACCCGCCTCCTCCTCCTGCGCCTCCCTCCTCCGCCTAGCTCCTCCCCGCCTGCGCTCCTCCCCGCCTACTCCTTCCCGCCTCTCTTCTCCCCTGCCTCGCTCCCCGCACCTGGATCCGCCGCCACCTCGCTCCTCCCCGCCTCAACTCCCTCACCCTCCCCCCTCTCCTTCCTCGCCACCTCCTCCCGCCAGGCTCCTCCGCAGCCTCGCCCCTCCCCACCTCACTCCTCCCCGCCTCGTCCCTTCCAGCCTCGCTTCTCGCCGCGCCTCGCTCCTCCCTCCTCGGGGTCTCCCGCCCGCTTCTTCCCCGCCTCCGCTTCTCCCGCCTCGCTTTCACCCGCCTCGGTCCCGCGCCTCGCTCCTTCCCCGCCCTCGGTCCTTCCCTGCCTCCCTTCTCACCCGCCTACCTCCTTCCCGCCTCCCTCCCTCCCGCCTCGCTCCTCCCCGCTTCCCTCCTCCCCGCCTCCATCCTCCCGCGCCTCCCTCCTCCCAGCCTCGCTCCCTCCCTGCGCCTCTCTCTCCACCCCTGCCCTCGCTCCTCCCCGCCTCGCTCCTCTCCACCTCGCTCCTTCCCGCTTCCCTCCTTCCCGCCACGCTCCCCCCGCCTTGCTCTCTGCGCCTGGTTCCTCCTCGTACCTCACCGCAGTATCCCCTACTCACTCTTCCCAAAGTCGCTTCACCCCTATACTTTGCTATCCTCAACTCAGCACAGATCCCAGTTCACTCTCCCACTCCTTCTTAGTCCTCTGTGGGTTTTACACAAACGAATGTAATAATGTACGAATTCTATTTGACTTCAGTTTAGTTTGCATTTCTAGGAATCTGATTATTGCCTTTTCTGGGAGCTGTGGTACTTGTAGATGGTCAGATTTCTATTTACCTTTCCCGAACTCCTGGTCAATTCATGTGGCAGATAAAGCAAGCACTCACCAGATTTTCTGGGGATCCATCCATTTCCCCTGCCCCTCATTCCACTATTGCTTCGTCACGATTCAATAATACCATTTACATCTATTCGCCAAAACCCGAGAATGTATGGCCAAAAAGACTAGGATGTTAAGGTCATTGCATAGAGAAAAGAACTGACTTCCAATTGTGGACGTTACATTTTGTGAACACATTTATTTCACTTCGTCACGTAAGTTTAATATACCAATTAAACTCTTACAAAAATGGTAAAATTTAGTCAACAATATTCTCGAAAGATTACGGTAGGTTTTGAAAATGTCGATTTGTGCACTTTTGGAAGAAGGTAAATATTTCCACAAAAGGATCCCGTCAGATGAAATAAATGTACATTGAAGAGTTTTGAAATTGCATACGAAGCATAATCCAGAAATTGAAACCTAAGACGCGAGTAGATCGACCAGAAAGCAATAGCTAAAACTGTCGATGAGCAAACAATATTTTTTCATCGTTCACTTATCGACAGGTACAGTGAATAGAAAAGTAATTTCAGCCGAAGAAAATCAGAACTGCAAGCCAAGCGTTCAACTTGCGTCGTTTCGTACCCTCCACCTGAAAATCGATTCAACGGAAATACCGATAATATTTACACAATGTCAATCAAATGGATGAATAGAGTGTCTGGGCATGCTCTTAGTGACAGAATGACAGCGTTTATAAAAGCTCTTTTAGATATCGGATTACCGAAATCTTACCATTCACTTTTCTCTTTTTATTCCCCCTTTCAGATCCGTGAGAGGTTGCATACAGAGGCAAAACGTCCAGAAAGCATACGCCGATTATTGTAGAGTGTTTAAAACAGATATAGAAATGGAATTGGGATAATTATTGCTTATTAATATAAAATACGTTCATAGCAAATTGGTCTCTGATTAAGAAGTAATTGATAATGCAAACAAGTGATATAAGTCGTAAAATACTATAAAATATACTAGCTGAAACTGTGCAAACATTTTGCACAATGTACAGGTAGAAGGACAATGAATTACTGGAATATTTGACAATTACACTACCTATTGAAAAATTATTTAAGGCTCCTCGCAAAAACAACTTTATGGTAAAGTTTAGTCGCTTCTCTCGTGAATTTTTAATTTTCTTCCAGTGGTCGAGCGTTTGGACTCTGCTATTTACGTAAAACAAGTGCCAGTGCAACAAATAATTTCCTGTGCATCTTTACACATCATAAGCCACAAAAAAGACTTGACCGGCAATCGAATCTGTGAACGCGAGATCATTGCGGCAGTTCGCTACCATAATAGAAAGACAACACCCTTGAATCATTAAAATGATGCCACGCATCGCAGTGTCCTTCATAGTTTTAATATTTTATTAACACTGCTCGAGGAGTGGCAATTTGAGTCATTATCGGCTTTAACCCGAACAAATGCTTCCTTCCAAACAAAACTATACTTTTTAATGTCTCTACTTCGGCTGGAAAAGAGTTCTCTCCAATAGAAATAAACGTACATGTATATGATACAACACCGACTGTTAATCACGATTCAATAACTTCGGAGATAGTAAATCCATTTTGTGTTACAAAATGTATTTCTATTGTACTTTTCGTTTTATCGTCACACTAAAAGTTAAATTGCACTAATAATTTATAGTTGAAGCTACGAAACACTTCCCTTGCACGGCCTTGGTCGTGAATTTTCTCGAGATATCCCATTAAGTCAATCATGTAGTATCCACACAATACATAAACAATATATGAAAACTATTTTATGAATGTTTTTGAATATTTCATTGGCTTTCAAAAATTAGTGCAAAATTAAACGAAAATTCGAGGGTATTTTTCGAAATTAAAAAATTAAAATACAGAAAGTTACATAAAACCAGTTAACGCAATATAAATTTAAATTCGGATCAATGTAAATCGAACAATTTTGCTGGAACATAACATGTCAAACGTAGCAACGAGTCTTCCACGCAAATGTACTCATTGAATTACAGAAACAAAATCAATCAGAAAAGCAAAATGAAAGAAAATATTACACATCTCGCCAATAGTATATAATAGAAACAACAATAGAGGAGCATTATCTAACCAAAAACGCTACGAAAACACAAAAACTGTTAAGATATTTGTTCTAAGACTTCGTTTTGGCTGTGCCATCAGGCTAATATTGGCAGCTCATAATGGTTGGCTGAGTCTCGTGACGCTGACTGCGCTCAAGGCGGCTCCTTTCAAATGTTGACGTTGGCTAATAAGCGCATAAAGGATTATTCATCACCGAGACGGATGGACCTTCTCCGCGGGTGCAGAGCGAAGTGGAATTCGTCTGAGGCCGCCAAACGCCCACTGTCAGCTCACTCCATATCTCTTACTGTAGTCCATTAGCCACCCCCGCCAACTCCACTGACCTCGGCGTCCTAGTTGCAGCCAGTGCCGATTTCGTCGTCCTCGCCACCCTCGCCGCCCTCGCCGCCCTCGCCGCCCTCGCCGCCCTCGCCGCCCTCGCCGCCCTTGTCTCACTCGCCGCTCTCACTGCCCTCGTCTCCCTCGCCGCCTTCGCCATGCTTGCCGCCCCTATGCACATCTCCAGATGCGTCTCTCTCTCCACCCTAGCCTCCGTCACGGCCCTCTCCCACTCTGACGTCACCATGGCTATCCCCTCACTCCGCCACTCTCTTCCTCCTCGCCGCTCTTGCTTCCCCAGGCGTAGCCACCCCCTACACCGTCAGTCTCCCAACCTCACCTCCCCCGCCGCCTGTATCACCCAAGAAGCTATCTCGCGACGCAGCCCTCCGTCTCGAACTGCCCCTCCGCCCCCGCTCGCCAGCCGGCGCGTCGTCGGGCCGGCGGGCAAAGCAGGTTCCCGCATCGGCGAGGCAAACCAGACGAGCGGCGGCTGCGCCACTGATCGCGTGTCGGGCGGAGGCTGGTCAGTCGCCAGGTGAGCCTGCGGAGGCGCTTCCGCGCCGCGACAGACCGCCGCGACGCCACGCGCGCTGACGCACTGCACAGGGCGCTGGCGGCGGGGGTGGCGGAGCGCATGAACTGGTCGGTGAGGCAGGCCTCGACGATGGAGATGGCGGGGCGGCGGCACGGCGACATGGAGAGAAGGCGGGACACACTGGGACGATGGCTCGACGGACGACGGGGCGGCGGACGATGGGTATGACGGGCGGCGGGATTCCGTGACGAGGGGGGTGACAATTTTCACCGAGGAAGGTGGTCGTGAGGAGAAGGCGGTGGCGGCGGGAGCGGAGGGAGGCAGCACGGGGGGGGGGGGGAGTCTCGGGGATGGAGATGGCGGGGTGGCGGCTCGGCAGCAAGGAGAGACGACGGGACTAAGGGACGATGGCTCGACGGACGACGGGGCGGCAGGAACGCATGGACGAGGCGCCGGCGGGACTAGGTGACGATGGAATGACGAGACGTCGGGATCATGAGGGTGTCAAGATCACCAGGAGAAGTGGTGGTGAGAGAGAAGGCGGTGGCGGCGGGGAGTGGGGGAGGCGCCGCGGGCGGCCGTAAGACGTCTCGACGATGGAGATGGCAGGGACGGGCGCATGGAAAGACGGCGGGACAACGGGACGATGGCTTCGACGGGACGACAGGGGCGGGACGACTGAGGCGACGAAGGGACGGGGTGACGGGGCGACGGGGACGCGGGCGATGGGACGACAGGACGATGGGGCCGACGAAGCGCACCAAGGAAGGGGCGGTGAAGAAGATCGGCGGTAGAGCAAGGGGCGGTGACGCGGTATCGCACGCAGTAAGAGGAGGCGGACGCGTTGTAGTTTGCGGTGGCCGAGGTGGCAGGAGTGGCAGACGAGGTGGTGACGCGGTGGAGGCAACCAGAGGTGGTGGAGATGGCGCAGGGTAGTGACGTGAGGCGGAGAAAGCGCAGGAGGCAACCAAAGGCGGTGGGAGAAGCCGGATGGTGGGAAAGGGGAGACAGGCGGTAGAAGCCGTGGGTGCAGCTAGTGGCGGAGATGGTGGCATGGGCGATGGTGGTGGAGGCAGCAGAACCGGCGCGGACGGCGAGGGCGGATAAGGCGGTGGAGGATAGCAGAGGCGGTGGGTGTGGCGGAGTGCCGATCCTGGCGGAGCCGGCGGCGGAGGCGGCGCAGACTGCAAAGGCCGACAAAAATACTGCGACACGGCCCGGGGACATCGGACAAGTGGAAGCTTCGCGGAACAGCACGACCTCGCCTTCTCCGAATGCCACTGCGGAATCTGGAGGCCAAATGGAATGTCAACTTTTTTAAGGACACAGGAACCGACTGGAGAAGCGCATGAATTTAAGTTATAGTTGTATCCGTAACTGAAGATTCATACACTGAAAGCTCTTAGGTCCGAGTCTTGGAGATAAAGCCATTAGGCAACAGTAGATAAGGCTCAAAATCGATCAGACTGAGAATTTAAATGCATACCTCTGTTTTTAGTCGTGTCCGTACACCGATCATTTAGAGATATACAACGCTACAGTACCTTAAACAACAGAGAGTATAGTACCGGCAGTTTAGTACCAATACGATCTTTTCTTCTTCATACAGCCCTCATCTCCATCTTTAGAGCTCAGTTTTGTCGCAACCCCGTTTCCTCATATACAGTTTACTCTTCGAGTTGATTTCAGAATCGACTGCTCCAGAAAGCGCGAGGAGAACTTCTAGTGTACATGCGAGGAAGCATTTCCTACGTGGACAGCATGCAAATAGTTTTCGCTTTCCTGAGAAGGAAAATTCGACTTGTGAAATGAAACATTCTTCAAGAAATTCTCTCTTTGATGAAAACTGCTACATCAGTTGGTTCACGATAATCCTCGCTAAACAACGCGGCAATTGGCACACATTATCAAATACGATCGCAAAACTAAAATTCATCATTTGCATAGTTTGGGTAAGATGCAAAAAATAAGAACAAGCGAGCCCGTTCCTATAGAAATAAAGTTCCCAAGACGAGGGGTGTAGGAGATGGAACGTGTGGCGTGACCCAGAGATGCGTTTTTGTACTAAGGTACACAAAAAAATAGCAAATAACTAAGTTCCTTTGGTGGTCCTTACCATTCCTTGAGAACAGTGATACAGCAGACAAGCAATGGTGAAATTAAAGAAGAGGAAAGAATGGCTCAGTGCATAGAAACAAATTCACCGTTTTCGGCGCACTATTACACAACTTTTTCTTCTTACGAAATATTCGTAAGGCGAGAAAATAAAAAGCATCAGAAATTTCCCACTACATGTTCACAGACATTTGAGCAGCCTCACCAAATATACATATGTCTGGCCTACATAACGGCATCAGGGAGCTGGAAAATGCCAAAGTCATCGCCACTACGTTCTCTCAACTACGTGGCGCCATAAACAGCTGAAACAGATTTTTCTGAAAATCCTGCAAACGAACCCATAAGAAAAGAAGAGTCTTTGTTCACTGGCAATATTAATCCTCTCGCGTACATTATCCGGTAATTAGTCCAGGAAAACCAAACAAAAGTATCCTTTGTCTAGAAGACTCACAGAACGGTTTAGGAAGAGCCTCTTTTCGCTGGGTATTCTCCTCCTACGAACATACTCTTCTTTACCCTGCACAAAGAAATCCTTTTGTTGTGCGTTTCGCTGTTTGCCATCTCACTAATTAATTATCCTCATCTCAGATTTTTGATCATTTATGTATTAGTGTCTTAATAAATTCTTGTCGATTATGCTGTGTGATATACATGTAATTTCATTATGAATATGTCTGGCAATGATCGTGAAAATGCTCAATTACTTCAAATCATATGATCATTTTTTGCAATCTAACCTAGTCCCCCAAACCTAGTAGCGCGCGTAACCTCGGTGCCCACGACTGTCCTGAGCAACGATGCTACGGCCACTATTTTGGGCATGTCGGCTGTACGCAAAGTAGGACTCGGCCGCACAGCAGCTGCACCCCCGCAGAATCGATGTCGCTTGGGGAGGGCGTGGCGGGCGGGGCTTCCCGACAATGTCGCCCCGCCGTCACTGCACGTCGACCCACGACACAAAGATTTCAATATATCTAAGGTGGTAGCACAGGTCATCAACTGATTTAACCACAATGCCTCTCAACGGGAAGCCCTAGGTTTCAAGTTCCGACAGTGGCAGGATTTTCGACACCCAATATACTATAGCGCATGCCGGGAAACCGATCGGGAGATTAGATCTAGCACCAGCTGGGACGGTGCCTCGGTGGTAGGAGATACCTTGTTGAAAAGAACCCACTAGCGGACGGGTAGGTCGTCGCCGGATCTCATCGTCCACGGGGGCTATCATCCCCTCTTTCCGATGAAACAAAATGTACTACACTTCCGGGACTAATGATCTTAGCTGTTGACGCATGCGTCAATCAATCTAATTCACGGACACTAACGTACTTGTGGTACCACATGGCCTAGAAGTAATGATCAGGGCACTGAAACGTGCCGTCTATGACGTAGTTTTCTGTAAATCCCCATAGTGTGCAGCAATTGTTTGCAGATACTGTAGTTAAGTGGATAATTTTTGTTAATTACGTCAAATGTTTATGCATTGAGTCATACTGTCTACTTCTTCGTACACAAAACGTTTTCTTGAGCACTGTGAAATTAACACGGAAGTAAATGTGAAATAGTAATTTCGTTCTCGCTACTGACGGAACAAAAGTAAATTTTATTCCCGAGTTATTTAATTATTACATTAAACTGAGTTGGTTAAAAATTGAGAATGCTATCCATAAGCCACGAAGGATCATTTATTTTCAAGGAATACAATATGTATGTATATTGATTATCCTCTACGATTGATGATCTGGGCTGTCCGGGTGACTCCGCGTCGCAAGCTGAGGTGCCGACGTTTCGACCGACAAATCGCGCTCTTCTTCGGGGCTGTAGTGCGCTAGGATGTTGTGCGCTCCGGTTTATATAGTAGGTTGGCCAGGCTGTGATTCGCTTACCGCACTACAACCCTGAAGAAGACCGCGATATGTCAGTCAAAACGTTGGCAACTCAGCTTGCGACGAATCGTCACCCGGACCGCCTAGAGCATAACTCTGGCCGCGGTAGCCTACATGATTTATTTTCTTCGATTGTTTTATCCCAGTTTGCAGGTTGAAATCTAAATAAAGCCCTGGAGCTAAAAGACGAAAAAATTGATCGTATCATTTACATAGGGCGAGAAGTAAATTAAAACCAGTTGCTCCATGTTGCAGATTGGATACAAGTAAGAAAAAGTGAATCCTAAATGACGCCTCTGAACATAAAAACTGTACATGGCCCCTACTAGTACCTTCGCTAATACCTAAACAGCACACTCAACAGGACTACCTCAACAGGCTATCACATGGTCATTATATAGCCCTGCGAAGAGACCATAACCCCAACTTCGCGCCAACAAGTATCGTTTGATATCCGGCGACAAATGGCTTAGGCTGAAAAATCACCGTATAATATTTTTCTTATTTGAGTGCACACTATTTATTTTTTTCAAATCTCTCAAAAACGCCGAAGAAAGTAACCAAAGTTGATAAAACGTTTCTAAACGCCCATAAAACGATTCTACTAAAACCATTGCGATTTATTTCGAGAGTGCAATGAGACTTCTAGTAATTCAAGTTCAAATTTTTTTGCCAAATATTTGTCATGGGTAAGTAGCAGTTCGGTGATTGGATGAGTGAGGTAGCTAAGAGCCTGTAGCAACTCAGCACTTCGGCCCGAAAGGTCGCGGGTTCAAATGCGCCTTGTGGTTGGTTGGTTGTCCTTTTCCTTTCAAGTATGTGTGATCTCGAAGTCCCTCGCGTTCTGTTGATCCCGCCCAGAGAGGTTCGCAAATGTGTTAGTGTCCAATGGATGGTCGAATATGCGTTCCACCCGGACGTAACAGGTAGCCGGCAATCGGCTGGGAAAAGTCCAAGAACAAAATGTAGCAATCCACCTCCTTACAGCTGCCCACACTCCTGATATGGAGGTACATACGTCTGGGCGGAGGAGAGCGTGCGGGGCTGGATGTGACGGGTCAGAGCAGGGAGAGGAAGGGTAGGGTGGATCTGAATGGTTCACAAAGAGGAGAGTGGAACCGGGTGGGACGCGGAAGGACGGGGCACGGCACGATGGGGTGGCAATGAGCAGGGTGTTTCAGGGCAGAGTAGAAAATAATTACAGCCATCATCAGTACACAAGGGACGGGCCACACCTCAATAATCAACATTTTTGAGTTAAGTGAACAAATATAAATACACAAAAGTATATTTTTTTCAGTAGCAATTGATAAAGAGAGTTCAGCAGAGCTGGCATATGTAGTAAAACGATTAGCCATTGAACGCAAAATAAATAACCTTACTCAGGAAAAAAATGCCCACAAAATGATAATTTTTTAGACATGCGAGATTTCCTGTACTCCGCCAGTACCTGAAAAACTTCAATCTTTCACTACGAACGCGAGGCCCTCCGGTACAACACATACACGAGAGCAAGGAACATCCATGCCCAAGGCAGAACTCCAACTCGCGGCCCTTCAGATCGAAGCGCTAAGCCAGGACACGCTCTTAGCCAGTTTGGCCACCCACCAAGACAGAACTCGAACTAACAACCCTACGGATCGAAACGCTGAGCCAGGACACGCTCCTACCCACTTCTGCCATCCAGGTCGGCACGCATAAAACGTATTTCGTTCATAATGGATTTCCGATGGCGCTCCATTCACACCGCGACGTCAAGCCAAGCCAGGAAAACGCGTGGCGGGGCAGCGCCAGGCACGGGCGCCGCGCGGGTGGAAGTGTTGAAGGGCGAGGGCGGGGCGGGGCGGGCGGGTGGCAGGGCGATCGCGTGGTGGCGTCGAACGCGGCCCTTCAACCTAATGACGCGTGCCAGCGAAGGGCGGGGCGGGGCGGAGCGGCGCGAGGCGAGGCGTCATTTGCCAAAGTGGCAAGTGGCGTCGTCGGGCGCGATCGCCCCCGCGCCGCCCATCGCTCATCGCCCAACGACTGCCGCCCCAGGCGCCCACTCCTTCGGCTTCTCCGGCACCAACAAAACCTCGCGGCGCGGTCAGTCGTCTAATTCTTCATCATGATCCTTGATTCCCAGCTTTTTCGTCCGTTCTTGCGATGAGTGATTTTCAGTAATAGTTTATGATGTTGAAAGAATTTGAATGCATGCCAGTTGGTTGATTAGTGTTTCCGCTAGGTCTGTCTTTAGTGTCGTGAAAGGAGTACACGTTTTTATCTCGAAATGTGGCTGCGATCTTCCCCCACAAGATGGCGAGATCCGGCGCAGGCCTGCACGTCGACTTGCGGGATTTTCCGTTAACCAGCTCCGAACACCCGATCAGCTCCAGACATGTGTGATAGTGTAGTGCATGTAAGTGTGGGTAAGTAAGGGGTGAGGATAGAACAACGAAGAGGAAGGAGAGATTGCGTGCGGTCCGTGACCCGTTTGTTAGGGTGCCGCCTCGGCATTCGCATCGTGTTGATTAAAGTAACTGCGGAAAACCACCAATCAGATCGCAATGAGAGGCAGAGGCAATGGAATAACTCGCTTTATCCGCCACAAATTCTAGTTGGAGCGATCTGAATGTGAAGCTCGACACCCAGAGTTGGAAGGTGAGCAATCTGATCACCACACTCTGAATCGTACCCAACAATAACACAATCACCGCCAGCGAAAACCCAACATCCATCAACACCGTCGACATCACATCCCCATCCGTAGCGCCCATTTCATCACCACTGCCGCCAACACCTCCGTCATCAGCAACTCTCTCAAGAGAGCCACCAAAGTTAGCTCACCATAGCCATCAACGACGACTCCATACCTTCTGCCAGAGCAATTGCAACCAATATTATCATCTCTTCCCCTAGATTCACCTCATCAAAGTCCCCGTAACGTCATTGCCACGAACATAACACCATCAACACCGTCAGCACCAATACCAATACAAAAATCACAGACTTGTCTTCCTTGTCATTGCCACAACGCTTTGTTCTCTTCCTTTCTCTGCTCCTACATACTGTTGCTCTATTGTCACCATAATTAACAGTTCCATTGCTACACCTACCGTCTCTTCAACCAACGTCTGCACAGCGATTCCAAATTGCCAAAATGATTTTAAAAATTGCCGTCTTTTCGAAATCATTAATAAAAGATTGTACTGTTCAGTACGAAGAGTCAGAAGATTATAAAACATCCTAACGATAAAATGCTTTGTTCACATTTACATGCTGCAATTTTGTTGCCGCACGGTCAAGATGAAATAAAAAACGTGTGACACCAAGAGCATGATCATGCCAGAACTATGAAGTGAGTGAATGTGGCGCAGTAAACGCTAGGCGCGATACTTTCGCCCTTTCCTCGGGGTCCTCAGTTTGGTTCTCTTTTGTGGCGTCGAATTAGAAACCTTTGGTAATATACAACGAAAGATTTGTGATCTAGCATGTAATAGTATAGCTACAGCATTTAATCTCATGACGAAGCTGACTCTCAAAAATTAGAAGGCAATTTTTAAACATTCTACACAGTCAGCATTAACCAACCCCACTACCTCCAACGAAGCTAGCCAGGACTTTTCAATATCTCTGCTTCCCGGTTAGTCTATGACAGTAGTATTAGCAACATTCTCGACAACATCTATGCGTCTGCCCGTATCATCTTTCTGCAATATCACCATCGCTCCTTCTACAGGCAAGGTTAATCAAACCCCAACTGTACTACCACCGGCATGGCCGGTCACTTTCGATGTCCGCCACGCCCACTTTAAAAGCTTCAGGAAGCGTCGGGCTTTATTACCTCATCATCGGTTTCGTCTCTTACGCGTCTATTGTGTTTCTTAAGCAATTTTGTCCACGCCTATTCTCTTGCCTCGCATCATTATCCCATTTGCTTTTTGCCTTTTTCTTTCTGTCGTTACCGTTTATTTTTCAATAACTGTAATTCTCTAAAATACTTCATTAAAACCTCTCCCTTTCCTTCAGTGCTACTCACAAAGGCTTGACGTGCAATACTCAATTTTCAGAAATACTTTATTGGAGATAAAGTCATGTTGTGAAAACAAACACTTCTTTTACATTGATACATGTATATAAGTTATTCTCCCAGGCAAGATAATGCCAGTGGACCAAATAACATTCAACATTCGGAATTTTCAGTAATTATACACAAATGTGAAATAACAGAGAGCCAGTCCCACTTCTGCGTCCTTCAGTTCAAATTTTGACTTGGCATTCACTTTGCTTCAATAGTCAGCACCACTATTAAAAATCGTGGAAATAGTTGATTGTTGACATCTATTGAAGACAATCAAAGCTACTGCGGCAACAAAAATTATCTCCAAAATCTAGTTTTACAAGTTGATAAAAAGTTTTAAAATCAATCCTTCACACGAGCAATATGTCAAAATCGTACATTTAATAATTACAATATGTATTCCCGACTACGAAAGTTCAATAGAGGTTTTTATTTAGAGAGTTCGTCTCTTTTTCAGTTAGATATTACTACTCGACTTTAGTAGCTACTGTACTAATTCAAAGGACCTGAAAATTAATTTACCTAAAATGTAAGTAAAAAATCCTTCCTTCTTTCTAAGTAAATCCGACACCAAAAAGGGAAGTAATTGCTACATTTACGAAGAGATATGAACCGAATGATAATATATAATTTTCATTCCTTTAATAAAAAACTTAAAACAATTTACAATTTTGCCCAATTCAACTGATTACTTTCAATTCCCCATTAGAAATTCTCCAATGTGTCAGTATCACACAGTCACATTGTCAAGCATACAAACAGGAACTGCCTGTAACGCTTGTTTATTCTTTTTAATGAGCATTCATTTCTCGCATATGCCAAGGTCAGTGAGCAAATAGCAAAATGCACGTTGCAACTCGCGTTCCGGGGCGTTCATATTGTAGCCAATTGATGCCCACCACATGGGCTTGAGTGGAACACGTGAAACGCATCGGCGAAGTGAGTAGTGAGGCGTTCAGCCACAAACCCCTGTCGACGTGGACTCGCCCCTAGTGAGGAAGGCACGGCGGTTGTTCCAATGCTACGTGTCTTTTGGCAGCGGCACCTGCGGGCTCCGTTCTTGTCCTTCCTTCAGACAATGAGAGTGGCATGCCAAGGGGTCGCTTTTGCAGTGGTAACTGTCCGCTTCTACGACTGTTAATTCTGGTGGCCGCGCGGAACGACATCCATGCTTGCGATGGGTACTCGAAATTTCAAGAACTTTCTGCTACGAGGCGACACAATGGCCAATAAAACATCTAACAAACACTTTTTTCTGAAGATCTTTTAATTGTTAAGGGAAAAGGCCCAGTTAATTCTGAATATTGTAAGATAAACAGTCATTGATCTCTTACAGATCATAATTAACATTGGAGGATAGGAGGATGGAATGCATTCTTGTAGCAAACAAAAAACGCGATTGATGTGATTAATTCCATATCTCCGTTTTAATAAGATATCATCATTTATAGGACAAATGTTCTAAAACAATAATGTCATTATCTATGACTTTACCATTTAGGTTATGTCACGTCTTAACAGTTTTTTCTTCCCAATTATCTACATATGAACTTGTCATTTGTACTATAGATTCAAACCAAGAACACATTATTTCATATTTCCACTGTGTTTTATAATAAGGTTGAGGCACAACTTTAATTTTATGAATTAAACTATATACATTAAGTATTGTCTTGTCAGAATCACGTAAAGAAGATTATGTCTGGTACATGAATCACATGCATTCATCTTTAAATGATTTTTGGGTAATACCCTCTGTCTCTATGGCTTTAAAAAGATATCACGTGTGTTACTTTAAACCCTTGTGAAAAAGAATTTAAAAACAAGCATAGGTAGCGGTGGAAAATGTTAGTTTGGACCATTATTTAAAACGGTAAATATCATCTGGTCAAAATACATTAAAGCTCCTACAAACTTGATTGCTGTCAAAGTAAAATTGCAAACGTGCGTTAAGTACAATCAATATTTTAGTGGAATCTAATAAAACTCACTGTTTAATTTAGTTCGTAGTTTATTCGCTTATTAAGACACTTTTTTGTGAAGCAAAAAAATGTAATGTATTCATATTTTATTCATCATTTAACATTTGGAACAGTGTGTGACGTATACTTCGAGTAATACTATTTTCCTAGAAATACTATTTTATGTGGAGTTTTTCTCAAGCCCTTTATGGGGTACATTCTCTCCTTTTAACCTTTGAGAAAGAAAAAAACTCTCTTTGGTCGTCCCAGCAAAAGGGAAATAAAAAATTTGGATCAAAGAATAAAAATCAATGTCATCTTCTAAAACAATTACGACCATTATACTACATTTTCTTTACACCAAAGGGACTATTCACATATTAAGTAAAATGTTACTATTAAACCACTGTGACATTGGACCTATTCTGAAAGTGAGACGTCGTTTTGAGACCAAACACGCGAAGCCTTCATTAAACTTTTGTTGGCATGAGACTGTCGTCATGACACTGTCTAAGAATTCCAAACAACTGACACATTTGTGATTCAATATGAAATCATTAAACTTGAAATGAAATGTATAGTAAAGAAAAATATAAACATTTATGATCTGAATAACAATAACTTTAATATAAATCTAAGTAACTTATTTAAGTCCGCATTTCAGTTCGTAATTGTCAGTGAGTGAGTCATGATCTCCGAGAGCCTTCATAAGGCCAAAGGCCAACTGCTTCAAATGAAAACAACACGTTGTTTACTCTTGTACGAGTGACACAAATACAATTATTGTTGAAACAAATATTCCCCTAAATGCGAAGATATAAATGTACTTAAAACGGCCTTCTTAAGTCCAACCTGACCGGACAAAGTACATAGTCACAATTAAAAATGATACTTGTTTTCCATATTATTATAATCAGTGGCCCAAAGGCAATATTCTACGTAGTTCCGGACTGTACCTCCGATTTTTCATTCTACTTTTTTGTATCGTTCACGACTGAGAAGGTAAAAGAGGTATTACTTCTGATATAATCCACATTATTTATTCTCAGACACTTGACCTTTCGTTATTTCTTCAGCTACTTTCGCAGCAATCCAGAATTTTCCTGAGTTCAAGCAAGCGAGTAAATGGACAAATTTATCTACTTCCCGGAACTCAGGTTTTGCGAGAAAACTAATGGTAGCGTTTTGTGAATTAGTCTGAGCAGTGAGTAGTCGTCGCCCCGCCGTTGCTTATTCTTCTGCTGGGACAAAAACAAAGCATCGCATTGGCACACCTCCGGCACGTGTGACGCTCTGGAAATGGATGTGCGGAATGCAAGCGAAGCCCCAGTGCCAGCGTCACTCGTCGAACAAAACGTCTCCAACAAATGACGCCCCCGCGGAAAACGTCCCGTCCAATTTTGTAGTCGCCAACTCTCCACCGATTCACGTGTCGAGCTTACGACATTCCCATTTTAGCAGAGGTCGGCAGGGTTGCCACATTGGAAATTTTACTCCCCAAAATGGAGTATTTTTTTGTAGAGGGAAGGGGGATTGAGAAAACTACAATTTGGAAAAGAGATAAATTTTTAAAATCATTAAACTGTGAAAATTTTCCCTAGTGTTACATGTTTTATTAAAACGACAAAAAAATAATTTTCACGCTGAAAACTAACAATATGAACTGATCAGAATGATCGCACACTCTAACCACTTAAATTCTAACTAAACTGGAAAAAGAAAAATCATCTCAGTAGTGCCGCACCGATCTCGGACCGAAGGATCGCAGGTTCGAGTCCCGTATCGGGCATGTTTGTATTGTGTTCGTTCTTTCACCTCTATCATCATCATATCGTGTAATCCTCATAGTTACTTGCACGCAATAGTGGTCGCTGACCTACAAATTGATACGACCTTAAATAACAAAAAAGATCTATTTATATTATCTCATAATTGTTGTTGAAGAATAGACATTGGATATCCTCATTTGTAGGATTTTAATTATCACTTCATTTAAGTTTTCTTTGATTTCAATGTTATTAGGTGCTAAAGAATATTACCTTTTTATATAGAGAATTGTATTGAAGAATTGCTATGAAAAATTGTAACACGGCGTTTGAGTAAAAGGCTGTCGAGCCACCTGGCAACCCCGCCCGCGGGCTGAGCCAGGGAGGAACACGCCGCAGCTCACCAACAATTCGGGCACACGCGCTCAGAGAGCCTCTTGGGAGTCAGGAAAGTTCAACCACAACCATCTCTGAGGAAATGTCTCTGAGAGAATTCATAAGAAAACGAGATTGAGCCTGATTCATTATGCAGAAATATTCAGTATGAATATATGTGTTTATGAATGTATGAGTATATATGAATGTGATATCTCGTAGAAATAATACCAAACACGTTTAGCTAATATTTCCATTTCAAAAGGTTCGTTGCTGAACAAAGTATTTATTGAAATACAACACATCGCTTCTTAAGATAGAAGAGCGCTTAAATTTGGCTCTTAAATCTCAAAATGTTTCACATTCACTTAATGTAAAGGTTTAAACATACACAACCAAAAGCGAGGAAAATTTAAATCGCTCATGCTATTAGATTGTATTAATACTCATTTTCATACAAAACAATTTTTTTAAAATAATATTAGTACAGTTTACAATAAGTGTTATTGAATATTATAATGATACATCCTACATAAATTAAAGAAAAATAATATTTCATGAAACACAATTGAAATTAGAATTGGAAAGATATTTCAAGAAATAAATTTCGGATTTATATGGCGCTTGGCAAAACATAAACAGAAAGCTAAAAGTGTGTTTTAAATGTCACTTACTTTGCCTATTATGGACTGCATGGAAAATATTTCCATTCTGAAACAATATGGCCTCGAAATTCTCACAAAAATATTTTCGACTTCTCTGATAATTAAGAAATACTAAATCAGACAGTCTGTCAATTATGCATTTCCACATACAATAATCACATTTATTTTATTTTACTAGCTATTTACCACTATTTGTTTCACGAGGAACATGAGAGTAATCATTTAATTTAGGAATGTCCCTCGGCTCACAAAGTTTGAAGGAAATTGTTTAAATTGTGAAGACAAATACTGCTAAATATCCCTTTTACTAAAAAGTACACGCTTGCACAGCAGTACACTCACACATTACAATCACACAGGTACAGAAGAGTCATTTCATGACGAAGACACCAGTATGTTCTTTATACTACTGACAATAAAAATTCCTTTATTTCTTTGGCATCAGAAACATAGATCCCTGATGGATTCCCGTTTTCTTTAATTCTTTTTTTTTCATTTTCCAATTTCTTTGCACCCTGCAAATAACCAAATCTGTGTGAGTGCGCATTTTTAAGTCTGGAAGCGGTCCTGCAGACTTCGGAGGTCATTAGTGTCATTTGTGAATATCCTGTACACTGCAATTCTGACGACTGGTTGGCGGACCAAGAATCTGATGACGTACGTTTGATGAAGACTGCGCGCGATATAGCATTGCCGTAAAATGCACCCCCATTCCGTAAATTTATAAGTTTTCGTATTTCGTATTCAAACAAGCACAGTTTCCTTCGGCAAATCTTATAAATAGGCGGCATGGATTGTCGAGGTGTCTAAAGCATGTACTGACTCACCGCTTCGGTCCAAAGGGTCGTGGGTTGGATTCCCGCCTTGGAGACGGTTGTTGTCCCTTGTCTATTGTATATATTATCGCGAAGAGCCACGCCTTCTGCTGACCACAGATCAGAGGAGCCCGCAAGTTGGTGCCTAGTGTATGGTGCCAGCGCGACGTAAAGGGTAACCGGCTCTCTGCAGGATAAAAGCCCTAGAAAAAAGAAATCGTAGATATATCTTCAGCACTTCGACTCACTTTCTGAACAACTTTATTATAAGTGATTACTATAATTTTTCAAGAAACTGCTGAGCAGTAATGATGTTTTCAGTAACAGGACACGAGAAGCATTTGTGCATATATTCGTGGAAAAAATGAGGTCGTGTTTGTTTTTTCGTATGCAATGACCCTTCCTGTACATTATTACCACCCAGACTCGTGTAACTCGCTCTTAATTTCCCTGCATGCCTGAATAGTACTTTCCATCTTCAGTTCATAATCATTAACGTGATCAAAACTATTCTATATGTAACATTCCAAAAATATAAAGCCAATTTGATCTTTTCACAGACACTTAAAAGTACCAAATATCTGCACCAAACAAAATCTCCGCAGTTTAAGATAAATAGCAAACGCCAGCCGACAGCGCAGGTATAATAGATGTCAAAGGAAGGGATGTGACGGGACGAGACGAGGCGCGGTAAGACAGAATATGATGTGACGTGACATGACGAGACAGAGTGGAACAATGTGGGAAGGAACAGGACGGGGCTTAAGAGGTAATGGCGGGGCACAAAATGAGACGAGACAGAGCATGGCGCAATGGGGATGCGATGGAACGGGGCCTGTCGTGGGACGAGGGGGGGCGGTGAGCGGTGCGGGTCGGAATGGATGATAGCGGGTCGGGTCGGGTCGGGTCGGGTCGGGTCGGGTCGGGGGGGGGCGGGTCGGAGCGGAGCGGAAAGTGGAGGGACGAGGCGGGGAGCGACGGAGGCGAGGGCGAGGCAGAGAGGCAGAAGCATTTGGGGAGCGGCGAGGTGGGCGGGACGGCGCTTGGCCGCCGTGCCAGCGCTATTGTCCGGCGCTGCAGTTTTTATTTGGACGGCGCGGGGCGGCGCGGAATGGGAGCGGCCGCCAGGGAGGAGGACCCGGCGAGCGAGAGGACAGGCAGGCGCCCGGCCCGTCGCCACGGCGAAACCACGCCACTAAAAGCCACTTCCTTTCATTTTAATGCAATTTTGAAAAGCCAAATCTCTCAGTTCTTTCATAATATTTTTAAAAAATGACTGAATTTATTGTCCGTTGTACCCGTGAGGATTTCTCGAATTTTTTAAATGTATTGTTTTAACAGTGAAAATTGTTTCTTGCTGGAACCAATTTAGAAAGGCCAATCCCTGAAGCTTCCGTTACGCCATATAGAACTAGCAGAGAACGAAGATGAAATTCCTAATGTTACGAAGTCCTCATTAGCAAACAGAACGGCTGAAACTCGTGCCAAATAGTTGTACTACATATGAAATTGTCAATTTAATTTTATGTACGTTTCGATTGATTATTTTGTGATTCTGGGCGCATCAACTGCTGTGGCCATTTTACCGTATGTGTAGTTTATGTCTTTATCAAGGGAGGTAGTCGTGTTCTTTCCCCACTGGATAGTAAGGTACGGAGCATGTCTAATGGTCGGCTCGCAGTGTTTTTCCCAAGCAGTATCTCCCACCAGTCGGGTACCGCCCCAGGTGGGACAAGCTCTGTCCTTCCGGCATGTGTGGTAGTGTAGTGCATGTACGTGTGTGATTACGTAACGAGTAAGGCTAGGACAAGGAAGAGGAAGCAATGATCGTGCGCGGTCGGAGGCCCTGTTTGTGAAGATACCGCTCAGCCATTCACGTGGTTTTTGATCCAAGAAATGAAGGAAAACTGCCGATCACAGTAGACGGCCGCTAGAATTACTCTCCAGAACGCGGCTGAATTCGACCTAGCTAGGTGCCCAAGGACCTTCCGATCAGATGCACTACAGTGATATCAACCAATGCCACTGCAAATATAGGTTTCGAGATTTCACACGTTACTCAGCATTTCTATTATATAAAAGTTAGATCTATTTGTGTCTCTGTACTCCCAAAAATGGAGTAATAGAAGGGATGCTGCCAATTTGGGACGTATATTTTTAGTGTCTGAAAATAGCTGAAAGTGCGACCAAAAATGTTTCCAAGAAATGATTTCCATTTTCAAATTTTGTTATAACGCAACCTGCGTTGCACGTATGTATTAAGCAATTGCATTCCAACGGAGCGAACAGGGGCTGGACATTGAGCGGACGGACGGGGCCAAGCGAGTCAAGGCCAGACTGGACGAGGGGGGTCAGGACGAGAGCAGTGAGGTGCATCGAAGGGGGGTAGATGTTTTTTTATTGACTAGTCATTCCACGCTGGGCAACTGGTAAGTTATTCATCCAGTAAGTGTAGCACATGTTTTCCTCAGGAGGAGGCGGTGATCTTCCTCCACTGGATGGTGAAATCCAGAGGCGACCTAACGAGAGCGACCGGGTTTCAACGGATTAGGTACCCCACCCCCCACCAGCAGGGCACCGCCTCAGCCAGGACAAGCTCTACGCTCCCGACCAGTCTCCCTCCCAGCATTCTTGTCTAACAAATGACTGTAATTAATAAACGCCAGGATGACGTTGGAATACTTCTAGCTCAATGTAATAATACAATACTAGCAGAATAAAACATGTTAACTCGCTGTTACACGCGCTGTTAGAAAAATCTAACAAATCTGGATTTATTTAAATGGCATTGATATCTTTCATCGCAGGGATATCACGCTCAAGCAATGTCTTCCGCACTTTCAACTATGCATCCGTTCATCGTTCTTATCAGATCTGCGAAGGTAAACAGTATGGGAAGGCGGTGGTAATGGCGGCCTGTTGTTAGATATTTTCTCACGCACGAGCAATCGCGTTATATTACGACACGATAATCACATCTATTCTTCTGACAGTTATTCATTTTCGTTTATGTCTGGAATCCTTGTGTGAAGACCAGAAAAGCTTAGTGTCTTATCTTCATTGTCAAATCAAAGGTAAGAATCATATATTTAGCAAGAATAGTATCCGCCGTATTTTCGCTGTAGGATCGGAACTTAGTTTTGTTTTCTTTTTTAGAGTAAAAAGTTATGACGGAGAGCAAACAAAAGAGAAAAGAGGATTAGACAATAAACCTCTAGTTGGCGAATGTATAAATCTTGTAAAGGAAAACAGTCATTCAACTGGCGTGGATGAACATGTCAACGTATTTAAAATAGATATTTAAAATACAAGTACTTAAATTCTGCCCAACCCTGCTCATTACAAATAGTACAACATTTGGTGCAAAAATAAATATTTTCAAGGAAATACCAACGCACATTTGACAATTATAACTCCTTTTCATACAGAAAAAACATGTCCCAATAATAAGACGTATTTCACAAAAATGAGCTTCCGAGTCAATGTGGTCGAGTCGTTGTAGCATTCCAATTTAATATTTTCTGATAGCTAGCAGTATTCTAGTAAGCTATCAGTACAGATGTTTTAAATAATTTCTTAAAGATTAATGTGTATTACAAAAGGTCGAACGTAAGAAACGAACAAAGAAATATTAAATAATAAACAAATTCTAACCTACGAAGCATCCAAATGTCGGGCATTACGTCTCCGAAGAGCAGTAAATGCAGAGTGGGCAATTATTTAAGCCTCCTAATTACCCCAAATATACTCATATTTTCAAAAAATTGAACATGACCTTCTTTTAGGATCTATTAGTATCAAGACTTGTATTTTTACAATTCTAGTTGTAGGAAGACGCCGAAGACGCGCAGTCAATTGGTAGTAAGCTTGGTACTACCAATTGGTATTGGTATTATTTTTGGTATTATTAATTGGTATTATTTTTGTAGCAAAATTACACCTAAAATACTCATATTTTCAAAAAGTTCAACATGACCTTGTTTGAAGATCAGTTTTTATGAACTCATTTCATTAAGAAAAAAAATTGTATCTTCACAATTTCACGTTAGGACGAGGCTAAACATTTCCCCCCTCCCAAAATAAGACATTTCAAGGAACATGAGACCTGCACCATTTTCTTAAGCGTCCTTAATATTATCTAAGGTCCTAACGTAATCAGAAACTTTCTTCGGTTTTTAAGAAAAATGGTTTAATGAAAATAAAAATTACCTATGTTTGATACAAAATTACGCGAAAAATACCAAAATTTTCGAAAAAAATGTACATTGCATTATTTCCAAATCAATATTTAAGGAATAGACTTTATTTAGGAGAAAAAATCTCTCTTTAATATTTTAGTTTTAGGAAGTCCCCGAAAAAAATTTTATTTTCAAAGAATCAGTGTTTTTAACCAATAGGAGGCCTTCGCTTTTTCTTAAACGTCCTTCAGGCTATCCAACAACACAATTTCATCAAAATCGATGGTGCCATTTTTTTGTTTGAAAATGTCCTAAGAGATTTATGTGAAGAATCCCCGAAGATTAAAATATCAATTGTGGTTTCAAATTCAGGGGGCCGCAGCATCAGCGAGATCGTTTAAGGAATATCAATTGTGGAGAAAATTGGCTGAACGGTTTAGCCGCTAGCGTTGTTCACTGACAGACGGACAGACAGACCAACAGGCAGACGAGCAGAGATTTTGCCGTCAATCGATTTTTCGGTAGTAAGTACCCACAAAACAGAGATTCTGGCAAAACCACCTGTTGGGGAACTTTTTAATTCAGAAACTGGATTTATCCACATTTTCGTTATCAGGACCCTGTTAGAAGAGTTTTCTGCCGAAAATGTCTCGTTTTTTCGCGCAGCATTACATAATATAAAAGTAAATGCATTACATAACATAAAAGTAAAAATGAAAAATATAAAGATTAGACATGCATATCAATCACATTAGAAACTGGAGTTAGAGTCCGTGAAATTTAGTGCATTGTATAACAATCAGCAACATCATATAATAATGACGTAGAACAAAACATATACTTTCTTCTTTATTTCACGCAATTACAATTACATTTCTAATAAAATACATACAAAATAAAATTGTGTTTGATCTGTAATTTAATGAATTGTATGTTGTAAGCAAATTGTACACCACCTCATTAAGAACTTTAAAGGAAAATGACCATGAAGGCAATATTTTTACGAGTAGTTTAATGACTGAATTTCCCAAGATCACGAATACAATCTTATTTCAAACAACCAATTCAAGAAAGCATTCAAGAACAGTCAATATTTGCAATTTTGAAACACCAACACAAACAACTAATTACTGCATCAGACCTGGGGAGCGAAAGTTGTAAGTTATCTCACGTAGCAAGGTAAATTTAAAAATTCAAAATCCATTTACCTTTGCTTTGCCCTCACAAAGGTTCTTGGTTCATAGTTTGTCATCAAAAAAATTTATTAATTGAAAGAAAGACACAAATTGAAAGAAACAATGTACAGAATTAGGTTGACTGACTGAAATTAAGGATCTGAAAAATGCGTTGTTCTTCGCACTTAAATAAAATTTGGAATGCACAAAGAATTTTGTATCACACGAAACTTGCACAAAAAGTACTATGTATAAATATTCACTTTAATAATAATAATTAATAATAATAATAATAATAATAATAATAGTAATAATAATAATTAATAATAATAATAATAAATAATAATAATAATAAATAATAATTATTAATAATAGTAATAATAATAATAACAATAATAATAATAATAATTAATAATAATAATAATAATAATTAATAATAATAACAATAATAATAATAACAATAATAATAACAACAATAATAATAATAATAATAATAATAATAATAATATTAATAATTAATAATAATAATCATAATATCATAATAGTAATAATAATAAATTAATAATAATAATAATAAATAATAATAATAATAATATAATAAGTAATAATAATAATTAATAATAATAATAATTAATAATAATAAACAATAATAATAATAACAATAATAAAATAATCAATAATAATAAATAATAATAATAATAATAATAATAACCAACAACCATCCAACAATAAGGCGTCCGGATTAGCCGATGTCGCTACGGTCGTGAAGCTCCGTCGCCAACTCGGAAGAAGGATGCGCGGGTTCGAGGCGTGACTCGGGCAATGGGTGTACTTGTGTATAGTCTGTAGGTGTGGTCGTCATATCCCCCCCCCTCAGTAATTTCATCATTTCATCTTCCTAACTTTCGGGCTAACAAACTGGTTGATAAAAATCAGATCTGGCTAAAATGCTGATCCCTGATAAAGTTACATGCACCCTGCAACCGAAATAAAGGTACTGGCCTCGGCAAATGCAGGGGTATGCATGCAGTCCAAGTCGTTATTTCGAGAAAAGAAATTAATAATAATAATAAAATTAATAATAATAATAATAATAATATAATAATAATAATAATAATAGGAAAGTGGTTGGCTTTCCACAAAAGGAAAGTTAACAAGCCAGATTCCGATCATTACGCCTGGGCATCAGGGTAAGAAACAGTTAAACAGAAAAATGGAAAAAAATGTCTACATGAAATGTGTGTTACTAAAAAGCTCTTAGGAAAAAACATCATTTTGTGCAGACTATCGCGAAAAGATCTCAAGATTTAAAGAAGCCAACAAATTCACAGAGTAGAATTGCTCTGATATTTTGAGGATATTCCCGGTCGGGAAATTCAATTTGATTCTTTTGTTTAATTGTAGATTTTGGAATAAGCTAAGAATTTTTACTTATCAGAAAAATTCTCTAAATATTACATATTTTTCTGAAGAAAATATATATTTTTTTGCATTTTCTAGCATAACCTGTCTTTCCCTGTCAGTTGGGCTCAATTTCAGTGGGCCTCGTTTCACTTTTAAGTCCCAAACAAACGCAGTTACGATGTATTCATTTTATGTGCATTTCCTCTAACGTTAGTCACTAAGACGGCCACTTTTATTTTACACATAACTAGTTTCGAAGTCTCCGTCACGTAAGCCCTTCAACGCAGGTGTGAACGTCATCGCAGGCATTGGCGTGCCGCATCCAATACGCGCAGCCGCTCTGCGTCCGCCGCGTGTCCCGTTGCCCCCGCAGGTCGGCGCGGAGGCGCGGCTTCTGTCGCCGCCCTCTGACCCGCACGATGCGCTGTGCTTCGCCAGGGGGGGGCCACCGTCCGCGCCCGCGGCCCACCGCTCCGGCGCGGCGCGGCGCCGCCGGCATGGCAGCAGCAGCCAGCACAGCAGCCGCCCGGCGACTTTGAACTTGGGCGCTGGCGGCGCGCCCAGTAAGCCAGCCGCGACCGTAAGGAGGAGGCCAAGCGCGCCGCGCCGCGCGCGACAACCAAATAGCAGCCGTTGGAGAGGAGGGGGCGTCCGCCGCCCGCCGCCACCAGTCGCGGCCGTAACCAGGTGGCGCGAGCGCGGACAGAGCTTCGCCGCCTCCGCGCGCCACCGCCACCGTCGCCGCAGTCGACGATGCGCGCGCCCGTTGGTGGACCGCCCGCCCCGCCGCCGGGGCCCCGGCCCACGCCCCCGCCCCGCCCGCGCCGCCCCACGCCCGCCGCCCCCGCCCCCGCACGCCCGCGCCGCCCGCCCCTCCTCAACCTGTGCTGCCGCGCGGCCCCGCCAACGCCGCTGCTACCGCCTCACCGTGACCCGGGGGCTCCCCCTGCCCAGCGAGCCGCGCCCGCACGTGGTGGCGAGTCGGGCCGCGCGCCCCAAGGAGAGCGAGCTATCGAAGCGAGCGGCGCGAGCGGCGCGGAGTCGAGTCGAGGCGAGACGAGCGGAGTCGAGTGGCGCGGCCGGCGAGGCGCGAGGTCGAGCGCCGGTAGGGCAGTGCGCGGTGTGCGGTGCGCGAGCGAGGCCCTTTGGCGAGTGCGGCAGCCATGGGCAAGAGCATGAAGGAGCTGTACCACCAGCTGATGTTCGAGCGGCGCATGCTGCTCGGCTGCACCGTGCTGGTGGGGCTGTCGGTGGTGCTGTGGGTGGTGGCCATCTCCACCGACTATTGGTTCTGGGTGTCGGCGCCCACGCCCAGCGGCATCTACGTCAACGAGACGAAGCGCTTCTTCCTGTCCAGCCACTCGGGCCTGTGGCGCATCTGCCGCAGGGCCATGGTGGTCACGCAGCCCGGGGACAAGTTCGACCCGGAAACCAACTCCACCATCACCGTCGTCGGAGGACGCACCTTTTTCCGTAAGTACCACGAGGAACACCCTTATCAGTGCGTGACAAAGTTGCTAATACGAAGGTGCGCCAAACGATAGAAGCAGTGAAAAACGGAAATCTAATCAAAACATAACTAATTCCCATTTATAAAAAAAATGTGCGAAAACCTCCTGGGAATGATAACAATATAGGCGCAGATTTACCAATCTGTTCACGTATTTTATCACAATTCAAATCAACAGAAATTGTAAGGTGAATAAACTACGGAATTTATACATTTTTTGCGTTCCAATATAAGATCTCATGCAAGTGCTTATACATGGTTCGAACATTTTATTAAAAGATTCTGTTCATGTTTAAACAATTTGTTCTAAACTGACAAGTTCAAGCCAAAACCTCGTTGGTATATTTTACGGATTAATATTTAACATAAAAGATTTTCTCTGTAAAGAGATCCCCGGGAAACGTATCTTCCTGTATTGCAAGCTAGTAATGGTTACATTTTTTGTAATAAGAAAATAAACGTAACGATAATTTCACATATCGTTTTTAATTGATACGAAAAACCTTTTCCAAAGTATAACTTCATAGAGAAAACTTAACAAAAAGATTTAAATAATGGCGTTGCAAGTAGTTAGCTAAGAGTTGAAGAAAATAATAATCAGTCTCTGAAAACGTACTGATAAGCGCTCTCTTCTTCACTTGTTTCTTCTTACGCCTAATTTCGACGATCATTATATACTCATTACATACATCATTATGTGTGTAACTTTTACTCAACAATTAGAACTCCTTAATTGCCTATGAACAAACCGTGAATCACAGAAACATAATTTCCACACCCGTTTGCTGCCCTTGACTGATAATGACCCTTGCTTGTGATTCCGAAAATGCTTTCATGAAACTGACGAACCCTGAACTGAAACGAGCCCTGGCAATAAACATGGCGTCGATACATCACTGCGTCAGCTAGGCGTTCTTGACACTGGCCGCCATGTCCACTCAACGTTCGTCGCGCCATTATAAACGCACGGCTGCTTCTCAAAATATATTATTTCCCTTTAAAGGACCTATCTTATTCCTTTATATCCCCGGAATCTTTGCAAATACTGTTTCGTTAAAAACCTACTTTCTATGTTTTTGGAAGAATATTATCTTATATTGAATAATATCGAACATTATAAAAGATTCCAAAAGCTCGGCTCTTTTCTTTTAACGTGCCCACGTAAAGGAATCGATTCTCTTCCGCGAGGAAATTGAAAACAACAACGCGGACTTGCGAATGAAGTGTCTCCGCACGTTCAGAAAGTCGACGCTATGCGTATTCAAGTCAATGAGGTTCCGACCTTCGACCTTCGATCTACCTACCTAGAGACTGAGCAAAGTTTGAGCAAAAATACTTAGGAAAATATATTTCACTCTTAAACAAGGAAGACAACTGTTCTCGAACTAGTTGTAAACGTTAATAAGTCTTGGTTCTTTAATGATCCTGTGATCCTGTGATTTACCTGCTACAAAACAAACATCTCTACAAAAAGGTCTGACTCACACTTTCTGTGTGAGAACAACCATGTACAAAATAATTATTTTTGAAGAAATACCAAAGCTGTCTCTTCACTTAAACAAACTTCACACAAACGTGCGAAATTGAAACAAGCCATTATTACAAAACTAACACACGAAATTACACCTAAGAAAGGAAACCATTCAAACAACAAAATGTCCTTGTTCGTGAGTTTGCATGCGTTAGCATCGCCCACGTGCTTACGTTTGCATCGATCTCCTCTTTGATTTTCCTACCTTGCAGAGTCAGGTGTAGATTCGTGCGCGAGGGAACATTAAGGAATAAAAGAAAATTTGTAATAACTGGCCACATCATTTTGATCCCATAGCCCATCCCCGACTTCTGCTGGGAATATTTGGGAAATATTAGGGGGCAACATTTACGCTCCTATAATATCACAAGAGAACGCCATAACAACCATAGCGGTAATATTTAACAATTGTTTTTGAAGCTAAGACATTATGTGATTTGATCAGGACGGGAATGGTCAAAGAATTGAATTTTCTCGAGCATTTAACCAGTTATTTTACATGCCTCGGGTATGGCACGGCTACATCACCCTTCCGCATATCCACACTCCTATATGCTTTGGTGGCTCAGGGCATCAATTGATGTTCCTGCACTTCCTCTGACCGCGAAGTCCTAGAGTTCGAATCCCGATGTGGCAGGATTTTCGACACTATCTACATAGGTAGGTAAATTTCAGTCGCTACTTGGACGAGGTTTCTAGCGATCGGCTGCTCTAATAGATAGTTTTGCGTGGTTTCTCTAATCAATAACAGACGAGTGCTGAAGCAGCACCTTAACAAACGGGCCAAGAACCGCGCGTGATCTTTCCTTCCTCTTCTTCGTATGATTAACTTACACTTTATTTATACATTCACTCTTACACGCACTACACTAACACATATGTCGGGAGACCAGTCGGGAGCTTAGAGCTTGCCCGGCTCAGGCGTAACCCTACTGGTGGAAGAATCCTGATTGGGGAAAACCCGCGTGCCGACGTATAGGCCTGTGCCGTATATTGCCATCAAGCGAGGACAAATCACCGCGACCTCCCGCGATACCTAATCTATCTTTCCATCCGTGCTCCTCCGCCGGGATAGAATTCGCGCTGAACGGAAAGCACATATCCGCAATGTCACACATAACTCAAAATTTGTTGTGCATTAGTTTGTGCCAAACTCGTTTCATGTCTCTGATGCCCTAATAAACGTGTTCATTTGGCTATAATTTACAAAATTAAACCTTTCAGCACAAATTACTATTAAAATGATATTCTGAACGACTTAATTGAATGAAACCCTTACTTGTTAATATGCGCTTAAAACACTAGTGTGTTCACTCGTGTGCACAAATCAAGGTCTACATACTAGGTGCGAAATGTTTGTAAGAGATTAGCCAGTAAGTTAAACCTTAGTAACCATTCATTTTACGTATTATTAACCTATTACGACATAACTATATATCGATTTGAAAATAATTTGCCGTATCGTTACTATAGTTTACTGAACGTTATGAAATAAATGCAGTACCCTAAACCAGGATTACAACATAGTTATTTTGATTATCTACAAAGCATGTCTCTTTGACTTTTGGTAAAAATATATAATCAGTGTATACTTTCATAGAAATTAATTTGTAACTTATTTGTAACTCTTCTACGAAATCAACTTATGTGCTACCGTCTTTTTGAAAACAAAATTACGTCAACTAAAGTTATACTATTTTTTATTTCGTCTAAAATGAAGTTACCTACTAAGAAAAGTATACCTAGTAAAAGGATCCTGCATTCATCTAAAAAACGCAAATGAAGAAAGTTCACTGAACAACAGAGATGCTCTAAGAATCAATAACAATGTAGACATTCCAAGACACTCTCCATGTGATCTAGACATTATAATAATAACTTGTACCTATCAACGTATTTGTCTTTTACAACACTGATAGACGCAAAATTCAAACACTAGTTTTTGTCAACGATGGGACATAATCATATAATATTTTTTAACATGAAATGCTTTACTAACTTGCATTCCTAAAACACCATATTATCTTGTAATATTAAATTATCTACAAAGACAAACGACTTCAAAGCATATCGTCAATGTGTGAAACACTTTGAGAATAGTGTGCTTTAAATTCAATTATTCCATTTCCCATAAGCTTTCATATGCAGGTTTTCTCATGTCTAAATCGGTTCAGAGGCAAAGAATATTTATTGTATATGTTTATACCATTTTTACTTCCGGGGCCATTTTCCACCTTGAGGGAATGTCGATTTTTTCGACTATCAGCGCCGGGTATTTACCATATCCCTTTTGGGGACACATATGAACCTTTACACTAGATACTGACCCATTTACGGGCTCCTCGATCTGTGGTCAGCAGACTCAAAAGACCTTACGCGACATTACACATTAACATATGAGGCAAGGAACAAACAACCATGCCCACGGCGGGACTCGAACACGCGACCCTTCCAAACGAGGTGCTGGCTCGGGCCACTCTCTAGCCACCCAGGTCTGCTTATATGTTTATACAAAATTTTAACAATTACTTACGGGAGTTGTAGTAGTTTATCGTCTCTGTAACCTGTCGTAAAAAATATCCTACAAAAACCTGCCTGTTCAATACAACATAGTAAACAAAATTCAACACTGAAGCTGATATTTTGTTTAAATTTATGAAACACGCTATTTCAATACATCTTAATTGTCTTTTCTCACACACTAAGAACAAAATGAAAATTATTATTATTATCATTAAAATTGATTAAAACTGTAATTATGAATAAGTTGTGCATGTACGGGGAATACACTTAAAAGTTAGTACATTAGTAAATTAGGACTAGTTTAATTTTGAGTTTTATAAGTTACGAGAGAATTACTAACCCTATGAAAAGCCTTGGAATATTTTTGCGAAGATCACTTGCACCCCAATTCTTCGAACACATTCACAAAATTATTTCATTTCCGGCACTTCATGTAAACTTCCCACGACTTCCCACACCTTTTGTGACTTACTTCAAAACTCTTTTTAACAAATTGACATACTTTTATCTCAATAAGCAAACACTATGTAACAGCCAAAAGTCATAATATAAAACATAGGGATTAACTTTTTGCACGCAGAGAAAAAGTCTTGATATAATAACAAGAAGGAAAATACAAATTTAGCTGTATTTCTTTTTGTTCTAGTCGTTAGTTAGGTACACCTATTGCGTAAGGAATTTAAATTCAAGCCGCATCATTGTCGGTTTGATAACCACCTGGTCCTTAATGTACACAAGGCTCGAGGCAAGAAACAAACAAAAACTATTAAGGAAAGATGAGAACGATCACGAGATTCAGAATGCTTATTTTGATAACTGGTAAAGGTTAGTATTTCAGATAATTAATTAATGAATATTTGAATTTAACATTCTTAAAGTTGATGGAAGTCCTACAATAACAATTACAACGTAGTGTGATAATACACTTGCAGGTTGACAAAATATTTACAATTTTGAAGAAAGAGAGAATTTAACATTGTGGACAGTTTACAACGTAAATATTTGAACAATTAATTAGCAACTGCTTAAACAAAAGTAATTGTTTTGGTATTAGATTCTTACGTAATACAAATGAAATATTACGACGCTCACAATGATTCATTACCAAGTTACAAGTCTATTACTGTACCTACATTTCTCGATTGGACCGAAATGAAGGAACCATGCTGCCGAGTCACTATAAACTGTATCACATGGTACGCGTTAAATTTGTAGACTGCAGCTTCTCCGAAGAAAAACAATGTATGTTTAGTAGCGTGGACATATCTTTGGGTAGTGAATAGATTCAGGAAGATGTGTTCTACTTAAAATGTGTGTAAGTTATTCATACAATCGCGCTTTTTGCCATTATCTTGGTCGTTCTTCGAAGAAGCATCTCTTGCGAGCAACTTATTACTTTCGTAAAACTCGTCGTGCGTTGTCATAGCTGTATCTGCAGGCAATTTATTCTCGGGTATCCATTACAGAGGAAATATACGTTTTCTTAGGAAAACTAGTGTCACAACAGCACATACTTTCTTACATATATATATATATATTTGTGTGTGTGTGTGTGTGTGTGTGTGTGTGTGTATTTTGGCATTTTAGAGTTAGATCAATCCCACGTTTGGCAGCCAGCAGTGTTTCCCAGGCCCGGGACCTGTCTTTGTTATATTTATTATACACACCCGGAGATAAGGGAGATACTTGGCGAGAATGACGTATTCTTGTGACTGCTTGACTTGAATCTTGAATGACTTCTATTTCGCCTGCCTGAACTTTTTCTTTCGTCACACAACTACAAAAACTGAAACGATTAGTATTAAAAAACTCTAGCTTTATTTTTCCCGGCCGGGAATCAAACTCTGTACCGCCTCACAGAAAACTAGCACACTTTCCATTAGCCACCTGAGGACTATATTATTTATAACTTTTGCAATTTTCGAAAATTCAGCTTTCAACGAAAATGAGGCCTACTCCATATTTAATGTATTTTTTGTTCAGTTCGAGAAAACTTGTAAAGAATACAGTTGACAGTTTTTGAGAAAATATGTTTTAAGAATATGTCTTTGCTTGATGCACAAATTACGTGAAAATCACTCGTTTTCTTAAGGGGAAGAAAACCAAGATATGGTCTTACCCATATAACTGCGTACAATGAAAAATTAGAAAAGACTTTGATCTGCCACATAAGCATCTCACTCAGAATACGACCACGGCCTTAATCGTTCACAAAACTCTCTTTCCCTGCGATGCAAACTGCTGCACTAGAAGCTTCCGCAGCACACACACTTCTGAGCGCTGCAACCAGTGCATGCGCTTAGCATTGGGTCGGGCGATACTCAGACCCGTGAAAGTCAGGAGCCCGAAAATAAATACGGGGGGGGGGACTTCTCAATCATGGCCATTTTTTAGAATTCCATTTTATTCTAAGTTTTGTGAAGGTAACGCCTTATTACATTATATTTCTAATTAATTTATATCAATAATAAAATCGTCAGCAATTACTTCACAACTTTTTTATCTAAAATAATAGAGGGTGGGAATATTGAATTCGTTCTGATCGCAGTGCAATATTGTTCAGGTTTGTCACTGTCAACAAGAGCGTTCACGTGTCACGTATATTTTCATTACCGTCTGAAATTCCGCGACAAAATAAACATTAATGACTCTTCCGTTTATACAAATGTTTCCTCAACTAATGTGATATTAACGCAACTTACCATTTGTATGATATAATTCTGAAATACTAAATATGCCTGTGACACGCATTATATGTCATTGGAAAAACAATAATACCTTTATCACGATTAGGTTTATTGTTCAGATACCTTTGATCCACTGAGCAAATTCTGAGATGTCCCCTTGCTTTGCTTTTGAATAGTGAAATGTAGCCACTCTACCTGCACAAGTTTTATTTCATTTTGTTATATGCGACGAGGAATGGAATTTTTGTTATTTCGCCAGCCGTACTATCAAATACCATCTGTAATTTGTTTGCCGATTCAAAGTTTTGATACTAGCTGTATTTCTTGTTATCGACAGTCTCCAAAACGCTCGATGGTACTTTAATTTCATTACGTATAGCAAAACAGAGAGGCTTTGGATTCGTAAGATCAATAAAGTCGGCTCAGATTGCACATCTCTCTCGTACGTCTCGTACAGAATTCGGATCGGACTGTTGTACCAAGTTTGCGGGTTCAACCCCGATCGAAGCCGTGAATTTTTAAGGTCATAAATACCCTTCAAACGCCTTTCTGCGAAGGGGAAGTAAAGTCGGCTGATCCATGTTGTAGATTTACTGAATGTAAAAGAACCTCAATCCTAAAAGAAGCCCGCTTGCTAAATTCAAAAGATCCTGTTTCGTCGCCCGAGTAATACTTCTTTCTCCGTTAGATGGCAACAGAATCTGCGTGGTCAGACGAAAGAGTGGGCCTGATGGCCCGAGTCTCGCCAAAAACAATTAGGCATCACAACTATATTTTATACGATGAATGAATGAACAAACGAGAGGATGTTCGGGAGCAGAGGCAGAGTGTAACTGGCGTGGCGCGCTCCGCGTCATCGACCTGGCTGCCGGAAGCGACCACGGAGCGACGCAGGCGCGGCATACAAAGCGCGCGCGGCCGCCACGAAACGGCACGCTCCATATCGCGCACTTGGGGACCGCCGCTAATGATGGAATGAGGAGGTGAGCGGCGGCGGCGGCCCCAGGTGCAGGCGCCGCTTTCGCGCGAGCCGTCACTGTCTATCTTTAGCCCCCGCTCGCCGACCTGCGAGCGAGCGAGCGCCCTACAGTGCCCGTCTAAAGTGGGACGTCTGGGGCATAGTTGTCACCCTCACCCTCCGAGTGCCATCGATAATATACGTGCCATAAGCTTCAAAATCTTCACCGCGATCATCACTTGTCAGGGTCATCATCTGCACCGCCATCACTGGTTATCAGCGGCACCAACTGCACTGCCATGACTGGTTGTGAGCGTCACCATCTCCACCACTATGACTGGTTGTGAGCGTCACCATCTCCACCACCCTGACTGGTTGTGAGCGTCACCATCTCCACCACCCTGACTGGTTGTCAGAGTCACCATCTTCACCACCATGACTGGTTGTCAGAGTCACCATCTTCACCACCACGACAGGTTGTGAGCGTCACCATCTTCACCACCACGACTGGATGTCATCGTCACCATCTTCACCACCACGACAGGTTGTGAGCGTCACCATCTTCACCACCATGACTGGTTGTGAGCGTCACCATCTCCCTCCCATGACTGGTTGTCGGCGTCACATCTTCACCACGATCACTGGTTGTCAGCGACTCTATCAGCGTCTTCACCGCCATCATCAGTTGTCAGTGTCACCATCTAAGCCGCCATCATCACTTGCCAGCGTCACGATCTTCGCCGTACCATCGTCCAGGCCGAGGAAGTCTCGGTGCTCCCGGAGGCTCATTTCAGGTAGGGCACCGTTCCTCGACCTTTCCCGCCCCGCCCGCCCGCCTCTCTCTAAACGGTAGGTTGTTAACCTTTACGTTGTCGGAGCGTCCCAATTTAAAACATCCAATCCCCATCCGTATTCGCATTACCTTCATAATCAATACAGTCTAAATTTCGTTCATTAAAAGGGTCGTTTCTATCCCGAAAATCAAAGGAGAGCAACCAAGAGCCAGAAGTGAAATACGACTATTTCTCTCAGCTAGGGAAACACTGATAAGCATTATGATCATTGTGATATCATGTCGTCATTTCTGACAATTAATTTCATCAAAGAATAATTTTCATATATATTTTACTTTATAGGTTGTTGGTATTTTAATACTGTAGAACCTGGCTAATCTGAGCCCGGCAAATTAAGAACTTAGGAAAATACGAACAATATTCCTACTTTTTTGTACTGTAAAGAAAGTATTTGATAATTTCTGTAGACTGAACAACTAATTATTGAAACAAAAGTTGTCGAAATTAAACATTTATTGCGCTAGAAACTAAGGTGAATATGACATGTTTATGTAGTAGCAAATTTTACTTAGAGGAACTTTCGAAATCGGTAATCTTCTTTTGTAGTAAGTAACTGAATCTGCTTGATGATGCGATGCAATGATGTGATGATGCGATCGCTATGCTACGTTGCCATTTTCTCACATCGCACTATACGTTGCATTATCTGGTAATACTATTGATGTATTTGTATATGTAAGAGTACATTTTTTTGATTATCCGAATACTTCCGAATCCGAACAGACCACCCAATTAGTTCGGATTACCGTGATTCTACTGAAGTTACATTTATTGTTTATCACAATCATGCACAAACCGACTGCGCCTGTCAGATCCCAGACGAAATGTTTTTTGTTGTTTTCTTGAAAATATATTAGTCTGTGATTTCTGCCCAATGCAAATTATTCAGTGGTAATTCTGTTGAGCATTTTCTGAAGTTTCTTTGTTCTAATACGTAACTTAAATATACGAATAACAATGAAGGAGCTATAAATACTATTACCCCGCACGAAAAACATTTACAAAAATGGTCCTAAAACACCATCATCTTTACAAATATACATTATTTCATCAATGATTGTCATGAAAGAAAACTGAACGTACTCTAAAAATTAACATCTCTACCGCACTGAGTGGTAACACATTTGAGCCAGATACGCCCTGAGACGTCCTGGATGATAAAAGGCCTATATTATAAGTGACGAGCATTATTTACTTGCACGCTCTAAGAGATTTCTTCATATTCGTCAACCCACATCGCTAGTATGAAGGCATCTGTCTGGGTGAAATTGCAACTCGTCAATTTAAAATTTCACAAGTTAAGAATTTAATTACGAAAAATAAATATTGAATTATGATTTTTTTGCTGTTGTTATTTACGTTCGCGTCAACTTCTAAGTCATTGGCCACCACTAGTGAGTTTAACGGTATGGTAACTGTGAGGATGATACGATATGATGATGATACGGATGAAAGGACAAATACAACCAGCTCGAAACCGCGATCCTTCGGTCCGAGATCGCTACGGCACTACTGCCTTAGCGAACTCCGCCTTCCGGACCATTTATTATAATGATTGATACGACTCGATTACATCGTCACACCTCAACCAAAAATCACTGAAGGCTGGTCGTCTTGGCTCGAAACTCTGGTGAACTGGTCAGTCGGCGCATCCAAATAACAATTCTCATAGAGGTTAGCTGTCTTTTTTTGGGTTTTGTTCCGAATCCCACTTTATCTTTCCAAATCTGAACATTTTTTCTCATTTGGGAATGAACTTACATCCAAAAAATTGATTAACTGCTTGTACTTGGAGTTTCTAATTTCTCTTAGAATGTTTTAGCTTTGTTTCTAGCCGGCTTTTATTTTATTTTGCTTACGCATAGGAGTGGCGTTCATATGCTCAGCTATCAAGTGCCAAAAAATGATTGGGATAATATCATAGAGATAGGAATACATATTCCTATCTCCATGGTTAATATAATAAAAACATAAACCAATACATTAAAAAACAGAACACTAACGTTACGTAACACTAAATGTTTGCCGTATACTGTATAAAACTAGAGTATTGAATTTAATCGTCCTGTTGAAATCGATGTGCAAGGCAAATGTATATGATTAAGAATGTTTTGATTGAAATAAACACTGGAAAAAAGTTTGCAACAGAAACATGAAACCACTAACTGCAGTTCTTCAATAGTGTGAAGAGATCGTTTAAAGCAATTTGTTCTTTCCCACTAGTCAATTTATACCCGTTTGCATCAGCTCTAAGAGCTCTACATCCAATACTGTGTTGAAAGATATCTCTCTCTTAACAGTGTGAATACTGCGACGAGAAGAATCTTTCTTTCGAGCTGAGACTCTGCTCTGACGGCTAAGAGACATTTGCAAATGTCTGGAATTCCACGTGTCCTGAAATAGACTCTTCGTTGGCGTCGGGTTCAGAAGACAAACATGAGTGTCTACAACGCGACAAGATAAGATATTTACGTCACATTCCAAATTTCAGCACTGACTTCTAAGCAAGCTGTTTTTCAAAACACGGATTACTCTGTCATGTATACAAATCCAACATTTTACCTCAAATCTGATACTGTTAGGAAAACTACACGGAGATAGTCAAATTATAAATAAACTCATGTCAACCAGCACCGTCCATCTCTTCCAGTCCGTCATCTTAATCCGTTATACAATACATCTAGGATGATAATGAAACGTCATTCTAAGAAAATGTACTGTGAATTTCCATAAAATTCCATTATTAGAAGCAAAGTATCATGAAACGTAGACATGATACCCGATACAGTCGACATCGATACAGTCGAAAACATCGTTTAAGTAATCGTAAAATAATACATTACAACTTGTTAACCCCCAGTAGGTTTCTATTCTTCATTCATTCCTTTTTCCATTTACTATGCAGGTTTATATCGTAGTATTACCGGACCTTTTCCTTTACGTCCAGTAAAATAACTTACAATGTAAGATATAATTTTTAAATGAATGTTGAAACAGTAGAAAAAATGCTCATCTGCACTTTTATACCACATTCAGAAGCTTCAAAGTTACCATGAGCTCACGACATTTCTCAATTTTGTTTTTCTCTCTTGGAGCGTATAATTTTTAACACTGAAGTTGAAAAATCCAATCTCTCCTTTTTGGAAGCCAGCTTAATAATTCACATCCCGTACGTAACTTGGCAGACTAAGGTGGATTAATAAAAAAGTGGAAGAGTATATGAAAGCTACCTAGCTTCTTAACCTTGTTTCAGAGAAGCTTCCCGCACTTTAAAAAGCCAATAAGGAGACAGCCTTGAGGTTAATTAAAGTCGTTTTGCAATTGATTGCCCGCCCTTTAATATTTTTTCGTCATATGCAGATTTTTTAAAAATTTAATGAAACTCCATCCTCACCATGTAAATGGGCATTACTGTTGAAATGTCTCAAAAAAGTGAAATATTTATGGTGTAAACAATCTACGCTTCAACCGTTAGATTTCTCTCAGCAACTGGCAGCACTTGAAAATTATTTTATTAGAACGTTACTACCCCCCTTTCCCAACGGACTCTCAATGCACATTTGAACGGAACAGATAGGTTTTTTCAGATCATTATTAACTTATACAATACGTCCACAAAATTCGAAACGTGGCAACATGAAAAATAATTATATTTGGAAGATAATGGGGACCATTGTAGTTTAAATGTGCTTCTGCCAGAGAGACACACCTGTACCTCCCTCGAAGTTACAAGCCCATACTCCAAGTGGTACCAACACTCACCAAAACCGGTGACGTCTCTTGGACTGTGTACAAGTCTGTAGGACAGGAAAAAAGTCAAACTAATGGCCCAATTGTGACAAACAAACCGGATAATGTTTACCGGAATTTTGAGAAGCAACTTGTCTACCTGTAGATGTGGCTGTGCCGTGCGATCAAAACGTAATCAAGAAGGCAGAAAAACGTCTTAAATGTACGAATATATGGAAATCGAGATCTGCCAAATGTGGAGTGTCAAAGCACTCGTCGTCCTGAAAGTTATCGCAGGTCTGGAATTTGTTCCGCAAAATTTGTGTAAGAACTCCGCTAAACTCCCAAGGTCCTTCAAAAGACTGGGAAGTGCATGACATTGCTTTATTTGGAACAGCCCACACTTTGCGCAAAGGAGGCACCGACAAAGCAAAGATCTACTCTTTAGGAAGCTGGTTGCAACCTGGAGTAAGGGAATGTTAATTATAGCTATATTAATAATAATAATAATAATAATAATAATAATAATAATAATAATAATAATAATAATAAGTATTATTATTATCATTATCATTATCATTATCATTATCATTATCATTATCATTATCATTATCATTATCATTATCATTATCATTATCATTATTATTATTATCATCATTATTATTATTATCATCATTATTATTATTATCATCATTATTATTATTATTATCATTATTATTATTATTATCATTATTATTATTATTATTATCATTATTATTATTATCATTATTATTATTATCATTATTATTATTATTATTATTATTATTATTATTATTATTATTATTATTACGTTCTACGAAGTTCTCGTAGAAGGATCCAAACACCGATACGCCATCCAGAGGCACACAGTCGCGTTCAAGTCACGCTCACTTGCGCGAATGGCGAACGAAGTCCTCTTAGACGGACCGGGAATCCAAGCCGCGTCCCTGAGGCGGTGCGCCCGCGGTCTGCCATCACGCGTCGCCCGTGTCTCCCGCTCGAGTATTTCACGTGGCGGGGCGGGGCGGATTGCGGGGCGGGCGGGGTAGAGGGCTGGACGGCGTTGAGGGGGGGGACGAGTTTGCATAGGACTGGACGGGTTGAGGGGGGGGGCGGTTTGGGGGGCGGACAGGGTTTCGCGGGCGGGGCGGCGTTGCGGGCGGGGCCGCAGTGGGGTGGTGGGGCGAGGGGGGTCAGGCGGGGTGGGCTTGGGCGGCGGGGCGCGGGGGCGGAGCGGGGCG